CCTCTTAAGAGGCTACATGTTAAGATTTACTCCTTAGTGTAAGCTTTTTAGGATATCTCAGAGTTAGAGGGTAACATGCAGTGTACAGCAGGCAGAGTGCCGCGGGGCAGTAACCAGCTTCTCAGGGCACCTTGCGTGCCAGGGCCAGCCTCTGAGTGATACACGCCCAGCTGAGTTTTCCCCGTCCCCACGGTAGATTATTAACAACGGCTGCGTCTTTCCGTTGTAAGACCAGCACGGATCCCACTTACAACATGTATCCTCCTGGCTTTTCTTTCAAGAAACAGCCTCTCAGAATGTATGATGGTATCGTATTTTTATAAGTTCAGTTTTACACACTCAAGAGTTGTCCTGTTGATCAAAGCAGAAGAAGGGCCCAGACACACACTCAAATTCTTACTGAGAAAATGTCTTGTGATCTTATTTATAATATTCTTCATATTCTCCCACTTGTATTTTCAAAATTTCTCCAGAAAGCATGTATCTTTTTTCCAATAATGATAAAACACAATAAACCATTAAAATAAAAACATACAAAGTAGCATCAGATGGTGGGGCGGGGAATGGGGTGGGGAATAGACAGGTTTTGGATGTTAAGTTTAGTGTGAATTCAAATTTTGCCAACTTTACCTGGCAACTGTCTTTCAGGTCTGTTAATCACTGGCACATTTTAACTACATCCTCCCTATTCATCTCAACATACTTGCTTCTCGTTATTCACAATAGCTACTGTTCTATAAAGTCCCAATGAACACTGAAGTAGTAAATGCTGAGTCATTGCTCCTAGGGGAAATACAAGGTTAGGTTTCTGCAAAGCTCTGGTCACAGCATTCATTTTTATCAACTGCTCACTGTGCTGCTTCTTAAATACACCTTCCTTACTATGGATCCTGGAGTCCTTCACGTTGAACTCCAGGCCAATAGCATGACAACTCTTGACCCCAGAGGCAATTCAGAGATCAAGGTTGCTGCCTCAGTTTCAAAAGAAGGCACCATCACCTTGCTCTCCATGGGCTTCCTTTCACCATGTAGGTGCAGGGCCACTGGGAGTCTCAGGGGCCCAACCTGAGCTGCAGGGGCAGGACCACTCCAATGGGTCTGGAGGGAGGGCACTGGGCTAGAGAGAATTATTTCCTTGTCCTTATTATCTCTTGGTGTTTGCCCTGGAGTTTGGACTTTCTTGGGATCCGCGTTCCTCTTTTCCATTTTTCCCTTTTGGTATGCAAATGGCCATCCAAGCCCATGCTGCAGTGTTGTTTGAGCACAGATTCGCAGCTGGAGAGCAGTTTGCCTCAGGATGCCTCACACCTGTGTCTCACCCGTGTCTAATTTAGAGGATATGTAGGTGATGCTGTGGATAGTAGATCTTCGAGGTGATGCTGGAACGAGTTAGGACTTCGGGGCTGTTAGGATATAAGAAAGTATTCTGCATATGAAAAGGACATGAATTTGGGGGGCCAGGGTCAGAATGTGACAGATTGGATGTTTGTGTTCCCTGAAACTTCCTGTGCAGCTGCTCGTAGTTGGGGCTTCTGGTGGCTGATGAGAACTCTTAGAGAAACTGAAGAACTGCCTCCGCCCACCGCGGTGTGAGGTCTCGAGGACAAGATGGCTGGCTGTGGGCCAGGAAATGGGCCCTCACCAGATACCAGATCTGCCCGCGCCTCAGTTCCGGACCTCACAGCCTCCAGAGCTGGGAGAAATAAATGTCTGCTGTTCATAAGCCAGCCAGGCTGTGGCACTCTGTTAAAGCAACCTGAATGGACTGAAGAAATCTCTAATCCAGATACATTTGTATTCTAGGATTATGTTCTTGAGTTAAAACGTTCATATTATCCTATACCATGGATACATGGAGAAATTATCACTTTTTTAAAGATTTATTTATTTAAAAGGTAGAGTTAGAGAGAGAGAGAGAGGTCTTCCATCCGCTGGTTCACTCCCCAGATGGCCATAATGGCCAGAGCTGCGCCGATTTGGAGTCAAGAGCCAGGAGCTTCTGGGTCTCCCACACGTGTGCAGAGGCCCAAGGACTTGAACCAGTGCCCATATGGGATGCCAGCACTGCAGGTGGCAGCTTTACCTGATATGCCACAGTACTGGCCCCCATTTATTTTTGTTGTTAACCAGAAATGGTAGATATTAAGGTTGATGCATACATAGATTATTTCTGGGGTGGGCGTTTAACCTAGTGACTGAGATACCCACATCCCCTGTCTATCTAGAATTAATACCTGGCTCCAATTCCTGACTCCAGCTTCCCACTAGTGCAGACCTTGGGAGGCAGCAATGATGGCTCAAGTACCTGAGCTCTTACTACCTATGTGGGAGACCTGGATTGAGTTCCCTGCTCTCACCTTCAGTCCAGCCCAGTCCTGGCTATCTGTGGCCTTTGGGGAATGAAGTAGTAAGTGGAAGCATTTTCTCTCTCTCTCTCTCTGCCTCTCAAAAAAATTTTAAGGTGTGTTTTTAAAGCAGATGGTTTTACAAGGTTTTGTCATTTTATCATTTGACTGCTATAGATTTGTTCAGAGTATTTAATGGATTCCCTCTTCATGATGTGTGTTGTATGCTGATAGAAAATGCAGCTACATTTAAATCAAGTGTTATGTTTAATTATATCCCTGAGCTCAAAGTGGCAATGGCAGAACCCTACTTAAATCCCAGCAGAATGTTACTTGTGCATTTTCTGCATTTGCTTAACTGCCTAAAGCACCAGAATGCCATAGTGGGTGATTATTTGTTCCACTCATGTTGCTTTTTCTGAAGGGCAGGGATATGCTTGTTGTGCCAAGTTCTTAAAAAGCGAGCAGGCTTGCCAACAGGTTTGTAGAGGTCCCCTGGGGATCTCGCAGAGGAGGGGAGATTTGTAAACTGGTGATAATGAAACTGCTGTCACCCCTCTGGAAGGCTGGCTGGGCTGTTGGTGCCGTGTACACTGCAGAGCTAGGGATCATTTGCGCACATTATCTCGCCAGCTGTCAGGGAGATAAGAACTGGTCTTGTACTCCAAAGCCAAGGAAAGGATAAGATAGGAAATCTGTTGGGTGGTGCCTAATCTATGTTGTTTATCTAAGAATTTTCTGCCTGTGTTTGCTAGGGGAGGGGAAGAGACATCTGGATAACTTAAGGATCTGTCCCTTGCTTTAGTATACTGTCAAGGACCCGTATGTACAGACATGGGTACTTCCTTCTGTCTGTGCCTAGCTTCCTCTTAGCCAATCTCTACTGGCAGGACACAGCCCTGGCAAGATAAAGGAAGACCTCAGATTATAGTGGGGGAAATCCTTATAAACAATAGGATGTTGTCTCTAGTCTGGGATTGAGAATTAAGAGAACTGGATACTAGTTTCAGTTATGCCCTTAATTAACTATTTGACTTTTGATAAATGACCTCCCCTTGCAATTGCTCATCTGCGAAATGAGGGAATTGGACAAGATGTTCTCAGATCCTTGTATCTCTCACATTAGGCAGTTGTGTTAGTCTTCATTTGTTGAGGCTGCTACCAAAAGTTGTACCACTGTGTGTCCCCTTTCTCCCAGTGGAGACCACTGCAGATTACATTAGTAGGCAACTAACTGGGAGTGCATCGTGAGATACTTAAATTTAATTAATATTAAGGTTAGCATCATGTATTCAGAGTCAGACAGCTACTGATTTTTTGCTCTTCTCAAGATCTAAATGTAGGTGCTGGCCCTGAGGCATGGCGTGGCGTGTTAAGCCATAGTCTGAAGCCCTGGAATCCCATATGGGTGCTAGTTCAAGTCCCAGCTGCTCCACTTGCAATCCAGCTCTCTGCTATGGCCTGGGAAAGCAGCAGAGGATGGCCCAAGTCCCTGGGCCCATGCACCTGCGTGAGAGACCAGGAAGAAGTTCCTGGATCCTGGCTTTGCCTTGGCCCGGCCCTGGCCTTGTAGCCACTTGGGGAGTGAACCAGTGGATGGGAGATCTTTCTGTGTCTCTGTCTCTGTCTGTCTCTCCTCTCTTCCTGTAACTCTGCTTTTAAAATAAATAAATAAAACTTTAAAAAATCTAAATGTATTTTCAAATCCCTCTCAAAGATATTGTTGGAATGAATTTTTGGGAGAAGCGTTGAGAACCCAACATTTGAGTTCATGTGCCCTAATTGTGTTTCATGTGCTGCGGGCATCGGAAACTGGGGCCCAGGGATGGTAGCTCCTAGGGGGAATCTCTAAGACCACTGCTGCTTAATTTAGAGTTTAATCATAAGTACTGTGGATTAACAGATTGGTCAGCGCCCTGTGGCAGAGATCTCAACTCAAACTAGCTTGAATAATTAGAGAATTACTGATTGGTGTAACAAAATACAGAGGAAAAATAGGCTTCAGAGCCAGTTCCATCCAGCGTTCTGGCTCTGTTTCTCTGGAATTCCTGAACTCCCTCAGCTGGGCGCTCTTTGTGACAAGATGACTGTAACAATTTTTCACTTTGCATTCACATACTTCATCGTTGGGGTTTCACAACCTTGGTACTAATGACATTTGGGGCCAGATCAGAATTCCTTATGCTGCAGGACTGTCCTGTGCATCATAGGATGTTTGGCAGCTTCCCTGGTCACTACCTGCTTGATGCCAGTCATACCTCAACACTTGAGTGGTGGTTGATATCAAAAACATCTCCAGACATCACCAAGTATTCCATGGGGGGCAAGAAAACCCTGGCCGAGAACCAGTGGTCATCAGCAGACAGACCATCTCACTTGGTGGCTGTTCTGCTTGTGAAGAAATGTTTCCCAGAAGTCCCCAGGTTGTCCCCTTTGTCTCATTGGCTCAACCCAGGTCACTCCCCCATTGCCGAGCCCATCACTGGTAAGGGGGTGGAATATCCCTGGGGCCAGCAGCACCCACTGGAGCTAGGTATGGTCAGGGGAGGAGTGGGTGCCGTAATAATGTCAATGGAAAGGGGCGAGGAGGCTGGGTAGGAACCCAGCTACACCCATGACTTCTGTACTCTAAATTTCTTTTTCCTTTGCTCTCAGTGAGGATTATGGAAAGAACTTTAAGGATATTACACATCTCATCAACAATTCCTTTATTCGGACTGAATTTGGCATGGCTGTTGGTCCTGAGAACTCTGGAAAGGTGAGCCCCATTCTTGCATGTTCAAAGCTTGTGCTTGGCACCATATGCAATGAGTTAGTAATTAGAGTGATCCAGTAGACACACTCATTTATTTTCATTTTACACTGCTGTATGTTAAAATTAAGCATGACACTGATCACAAACGAACAGAACTCCGCCCACAGACTTCTTTTTCTTGGTCCGTCCACTGTGCACCAAACCCCTTTATAACCATGGGGCAGTGTTGAGTACAGTGTACACTCCCTGTGCCACCATTTTAGTCTTTGGGGAAACTGATGTCAAAGCTGGCCAGACTCACACTCACAGGCACAGTGTCCCAGCTCCTTTCAGGATGATTTGGTGGATTCTGTTGTTGCTGTTTGTTTTGTTCTTTAACAGGACCAAGACTTCAGGATGGAGGGGAACAACTAATCTGATTTAGAATTCCCAAAGGAATTTTGAGAAGACTTTTCTTTTGTACTTTTTTATTTTTGACAGGCAGAGTAGACAGTGAGAGAGAGAGACAGAGAGAAAGGTCTTCCTTTGCCGTTGGTTCACCCTCCAATGGCCGCCGCTGCAGCCGGCGCACCGCGCTGATCCGATGGCAGGAGCCAGGATCCAGGTGCTTTTTCCTGGTCTCCCATGGGGTGCAGGGCCCAAGCACCTGGGCCATCCTCCACTGCACTCCCTGGCCATAGCAGAGAGCTGGCCTGGAAGAGGGGCAACCGGGACAGAATCCGGCGCCCCTACCGGGACTAGAACCCGGTGTGCCGGCGCCGCAAGGTGGAGGATTAGCCTATTGAGCCACGGCGCCGGCCTCTGATTTAGAATTCTTACATTTGGCACCAAAACTTTCTTCACTGTTTGGTGAAAATGGTGCAAGAACGTCCTGTGTTTTCCTAGCACCTGCATCTGATCTCTCCTCTTCCTGGCCAGGTGATATTAACAGCAGAAGTGTCTGGAGGAAGTCGTGGAGGAAGAATCTTCAGGTCATCAGATTTTGCCAAGAACTTTATTCAGACAGATCTCCCTTTTCATCCTCTGACTCAGACGATGTACAGCCCTCAGAATTCTGAATATCTTTTAGCCCTCAGCACTGATGTAAGTTCACTTAAGGACCTTGGCTTGCCTTTTGCATTTTTATTATGGTCTTAAAATACACTGTCTTAGAAGGTAATGCTTTCATATTGGACTTCATTCTAATGTCCCCTCAGGACGTGCGATACGTGCTTTTTACATTTTTTTTCTATTTGGTAAGGGGTATTTATTGCTTTGTAACATCTCTTCCTGGTGAGTATGATGTCTGGTTGTCACGATACATTTTTTAGGTGATTAGATGTGTGCCAGTGGTGGAGTGAATTGGAAAACAGCTCAGGGTGGTCAGTCCTCTGCTGCAAGGGCCAAGCATAGACTGTCAGACTGCTGACGTTGTTACCGCTCCTGTGCTCTGGCCAAATGACATCTTTATCGTGGCTGGCTTTTCTGCTGGTTCCTCAGTACATAAAGCATATTGAGCTCTGTCTTCGGCTCTCATGTATTTAATATCCAACGTCTCAAGCCTTGCGCCCACCACCACATTTCTAAACTGTCCCCAGAAGACAGTGTCTCTCCCTCTCCTCCTCCTCTCTTCTGGAAGTTCCCTGAGGAGCACATTCAACTCTTCCTTTCCTGGGGCCCGGGCCCCTCTACCATGGGCATGAAGGGCCCCAACAGGCTGCAGTCGCTTGACTGTGGCGATCATAATTAGATGCCCTGTTTGTGTGGCTCTCTCTCATCTCGCTTCTTAGAGAGTGGTCTGCTGGGCAGCACCATCAGATAGAAGTGCCCGAGTTGCTGGTTTAAGGTACATGTTTTGTAGGCTCCAATCCAGATATAGTTCATCAGTGGCTCTTGGTTGCTGGGCAAGCTCCCCAGCTGAGCCTGCACACCAAGATTTGGGTACCATTGCTGTGCTGACTGTTGGGGAGCGAGAAGCAGGCTCACCGACTGTGCACCAGTCAGGCTGAGCAGAGGGCGGCAAAGGGGTGTGAATGGCACTGAAGTCAGGGCGCTGGGCCTCCTGTGGAAAGACTTGAGCAGAGGTGAAGCTGGGGGGCTCGGGGAGGCTTCAGTTTATGCTTAGCTAGCAGAGGCCAGAGGAAGGAAATTAGCCTGCTGGGGAGTAGACTTCCAAACTTAGAGCAGCAGTTTTTGGAAACTGGCCTCCAGCAGCTGGAGCCGAAGGCGTACAAGAAAGCAGAGGTGGAGGAATGGACAGAACCAAAGATCTCCATTTGCCTCTTCATCTCCACTGCCAAGAATCTCAAGGTTATTAAAACAGGGCTATCCTCAGGAAGACGCAGGTACACTCTACTTTTTACTTGAAATTTCTTCCAATTAAGTATGAGATTGAACTATAAATAATTTTGGTGGAGAAGTTGGGTTAATTTGTACTGCAGTGCAAATGTCATGTCAGACCCTTTGTTACCTTTATAAGTAGAACTAGATAAATCAGAAAGGGTAGGAGGCAAGTATTTCCAGGGAGGGAAAACTTAGAGGGGAATGGTGAGGCAGACACTGAAGTTAAATTCTGCCTTCATCAGCCCCATCTGATTTCAGCTGGAACAGGACATCTCTGTCCCCCCTCCACTGAAGCGGAGCCCAGTCTCATGCTGCTACTGTGGTTCACGTGGTCAGTTTCACCTTCTTATGTCTCTGCTGCATTTCAAAGTATTGGGCAGTCCCTCCTTTTGGGAACTCGACTCGTTTGGCCTCTATGACATCATTCCCTTTGATTCTTCTACCTTCTTGGCCCTTCTTTCTTGGTCTTTTCTTAAATACCCTTCAACCTACCCTTAACCACCTACTGCTCATTTCACTCTGAGCAATCGCTTTCATTCCACCACTTGACTTCCACTTGTGTAGTGTGTAAGAGTCTCGGTCCCTCAGCTCCAGGCCTGGCTTCCCCCTGGGTGTCAGATTCCGAGCTGGGTGTCTTGCTGCCCTCTAGGTATCTTTGTTATGTGTCCCATAGCAAAGATAAAACGGAATTCTTTTCTCAAGATTTACTCTTCTTCCCTTAGTCCTTCCACTAGATAGTGAGACTACAATGCATCTCACACTGCAAGAAAAATTATCCAGTTCTGCTATTCTAGCTCCTAAACTCTTGCTGGGCCTGTTTCTTGCATCTGTGGTCAAGACCTCTTTAACTCTCACTGAACTAGCATAATAGTTATCCACTGCCTTTCCCGCTTCTGTTTTTGGACCCTCTGAAATCTGCCTGTCCCATTCTCACGCAAGTGTTCCATCTGAAACGTGGAGGTGACCATGCCATCCCCCGCTTGGAACACCTTCCTCCTGAGAGCACCTCCTATACCACAGAAACCAGATCCTCAGCCCTGCACAGAATGCAGGGCCTGCGCCCTTCCCCCAGCACTGGCTTCTTGTTCCTTCACCTTGGAATCTGCACACCATCCACGTCTGGAGGCTGTCAGCTCCCTGCTCGTACAGTGGCATATTAGCACCTCACTGTCTTTGCGCTAGTAACACCTCATGGCCCACTTGCCTTCCTTGGACTGTTGTGCTTATCAGGTAAGACTCAGTGAGCCGCCATCTTTTGGAAACGCTCTGCTGTACTGTCCCTCCTCTTCCCACTTGCACACTGGATCGACCACGTCTGCTTAACACATGCTGCTTTATGTTCTGCTGTCTTTCTGCCTATCTGTGCCCCTTGTTAAATGGTGAGCTCCTTGAGAGCAGGGAGTGTGTCTTGTTCGTCTTTGTGTCCCAGTGCAACGTCTGGGACAGTGCCTGCACACAGTCGGCACTTCATTCACATGTGTTATTCTGAACTTCCAAGACACTGAAGGGGCCTGACCAGCCGTGTGTGTTGTAGGGGCTGGGGTTGTCCAGGCAGCTCTGGCAGATCTTCCGTGTATGTTTTACTGTCCTGAATGATTGGATATGAACTGTTAAAGGTCATACAAGCAGCTGCACAGGATAAAGCTGGAATTTTGATAAGTCATTTATAATCTTTCAGAATGGCCTGTGGGTGTCCAAGAATTTTGGGGGAAAATGGGAAGAAATCCACAAAGCAGTATGTTTGGCCAAATGGTGAGTAACAGAAGACTCCATCTGCGCAGAGCCCTAACCTTTCCTGGCAGTGCTGCCAGAAGTCACATGAATCAACATCGAGCACTCACTGTGTGCCAAGTCCTCGGCACGGTGCCAGAAGGGAGAGCAGAGGGAGGACTGTGACACAGGCCTTGACCTGGAGGAGCTTCTAATACTGCTGCAAAAGGAGACTTAGCCTCGATAAATGTTAGAGTGTAAAGTATAAGGCAAGGCGTTTGACCAAGTAGCTGCTGCCTGCAAAAGGTTTATTCTCAGGAAATGGTGGCACCAATGGAATACAATGAAATAGAGCTTTAATTTAGGGATTGCAATACTTCCCTGTGCCCAGGTTTCCACTCCCTGGCCTAGCGATACATCCCAGTTACATGGACCATGGCAGAGAATCAGCAAGGAAGCCAAAGAGCTTCCAGACGGCCAGAGTCACCATCTCTGCACCAGGACGGCCCGCTCCTCTCGGTGGGACGCCCTGCCCCCACCAGCTGCCTGCCTAAGGACGATGCGGTGGGGTGGAGGCAGCCCTTACTTGGAAGTCAGGTCACCTTTGTTCTAACCTGGCTCTGCTGCTGGTCAATGGCTCAACCTTTCTGGGCTTTCGCTTTGTCCTTCTGGGGGAGGACTTCTGCCTGGGGACAGTGGGAAATGGTTGAGCAAGAATGTAATTAAGAGCCTCCATATCTGCGAGACCTGTTAACTTCAGCCCCTTGTTCGGAGCCTGTTTCTTCTTTCCCTTTGACAGATTTGTTGCTCTGGATTCCCAGTTTGCAGCAGGGTGCTGCCAGCAGTGGGATATGTGGCGGCCAGCAGCAAGCGCGTGACAGTGTTAGAAGTTCAGCCTGAGTGCTGGAAGGAGGCAGAGAGATTGTAAAAGAACAGACAGCATCTTAGCTAATAGAACCGTGTGAGATTATTTAGTGCTAGATCAAAAAGTACACACACTTCAGTAACTTCTAATGGGAACACTCTATTATGGTTTCATACGATTGATGTTCATTATGATGACCTGTAATCCCAAGGAGTTTAATATTTAATTTACTCTGTTTAGGGAATCAGGAAAATGTATAATGCAAGTTTGAAATGTAATCCTCCCTTAGTTCCTGTAGGGGATTGGTTAGGTCACCCAAAATCTGCAGATGTTCAAGTCCCTTATTTATTCAGTACTAGCATGTAAACTACACAATCCCCTGTGTACTTTAAGGGATTTCTCAGTTACTAATAACACCTAATAAATGTAAATGCTATTTAGGGAACAGAGACAGAAAAACAAGTCTCTATCTCTCTATATATATGTTCAGAACAACACAACTTGTTTTCCAAGTATTTCCAGTCCATAGTTGTAGAACCCGCAGATGAGAGGGGCTGACTGTGTGTCTGCCAACATCAGGTAAAACATTAAACACGTTGCTTGAATGAAGTGGGCTTGTTCCAGAAGTGCTCCCTAAATGAGATGTTTACAGCACCACTGTATACTGTACACTTGTCACATCTGCTTTCATTTTATGTATTTTAATGAGTTGTGTTTGTACCTTACATGGTCTTCTCAGGAAGTACTTTTTAAAGTAACTAAGTTAATGGATTATTTCACTCCTGATGAGCCTAAAATATGTAGGACATGTTTTAATAAGACTGGAGTAATTTGGATCATTAAGACTCATCTTTAAATCTGAAAGATTGTTTGAAAATGGTATTCTATTTTGTACCTTATATAAGATTGGTTTTTACTTTTGTAATTATTTATTTGGTGTCTAAATATAAGATAACTGGACAACCATTTATTCACCTTTTAGATCTTTGATTTCTAGGAATTTACAACCTAAAGTTCTGAAAGAACACACTCAAACCCAGCACCTCTGGCTGGCAGTGATCCATAAGTACTATCAGGGTCTGAGTCTAGTGCCCTGTAAGCTTCCTTTCCAATTTACATTTTAAATAATTCAACCTCCGACCTACTTGTCTATTTGAGATGAAGGCACTAAATTATTTAGCTTATACAAAGCATTGCACTAGATTCTGAGTGGAAACAAAGCATAAAACTTAGTACCTGCCCTGAAAAAGCCCATTAGAATAGCAGGAGAGAGAAGGCGTATACCATGCGGTTACAACAGGAGACAAATTAGTGCCCAACAGCACTATGAGGGTGGAAGGCTCTAGAACAGCACTCAATGTCAGCACTAACAACTTTGTGGGCCAGTGCGTTCTCTGTGGAGGGCCTGTCCTGCACATGTAAGTTGTGTAGCGGCATCCCTGGCCTGTGCCCGCCAGATGCTGGTAGCAGCTCCTACCCTGAGCTGTGACAACCAAGAACGTCTCCAGGCATTGCCCAATGTTCCTGGGAGGTGCAGTGGCGACTGGTAGAGAACCACTGCTCGGGAAATCTGCAGCCAAGTAACTTTCCAGTCGGAGTGACAGGGAAAGCTGCGAGCTGGAATATTGTGAGGGAGATGGTTAGGTTATGTGAGAGAAAACCGTTGTAGGAAGGAAACTTGAGCAAATGCAAGAGGCAGATTTGCAGAGTGTCAGGAGACCAGTGTGAGCAGCTGGAAGAGTTCACGAGAGAAAGAATGGGCTGTGGGAAGCACAAGGCAGCAGGCTGCGGATGCCTAGCTGGTGGCTGTGGGAGGTTCAGGTGCACAGCACCTGAGAAGGCTGCAGCCAGTGCCTGCCAGTGACACCCGTGAGACTGGCTGGGAGCTTCGCGACTAAGGGTGATGTGGTCCACCAGCAGTCATGAACCACGTCCTCTCCCTGTCTTTGCCTCCTTGCAGGGGACCGGGAAACATCATCTTTTTTACCACCTACGTCACTGGCTCTTGCAGTAAGTATATTTTAGTCCCAGAGAAGTGTGTCCTGTTGTCCATCTGTGGTAGAGTATCCTGAATTGTGCAAGGTAGAAACGTAAAGACCCTTCCATTCTCCTGTGATTTGCATAAAAATAATGACTTTTCAAATCTTGAGGGGTTAAGCTGCCACTTAGGTCACCAGCACCCATGTCAGAGAGTCTGGGATCAAGTCCCACCTCTGCTTCTGATCCAGCTTCCTGCTAATGTGTATCCTGGGAGGCAGCAGATGATGGTCTGCCAACCACATGAGAAACCCAGAGTTCCAGGCTCCTGGCTTCAGCCTGACTCAGTCCCTGCTATTGAGGACATTTGGGGAGTGAACCAGAGAATGGAAGATCTCTCTCTTTCTCTCTTTGTGTGTCACTCTAACTTTCAAATAATAAAAATAAATGTATAAACTTTTTTTAAAATCTTGAAAGTATAGCCAAATTAGTACACTGTCTCCAGATCAAATAATGTAGGCTATACAGAGAGGCAGTGTGTGTATTAAGCTACAAACAATAGCAACTTGAAATGCATAGTGCTTTCTGCAAAGAAGAGCATGAATTGTGTTTCTGTTGCAGGAAGCCATTGGCTTCTTAATCTGTGGCACAGTTTTAGAGCAGAAAGCAAAATCTTTCATCTTTTCATTCAACAAATACTTGAGCACCTGCTGTATACTAAACACTATTCTAAGGATACGAAGAACAATATGCCCAAGACTTGTTCTCATGAGACATAAATTCAAGTTGGGATTTTGGATGATAAACAAGAAAACCAGGACTCATACAAGACAATTTAAAATAGAATAAGATCATTTCAAACTGTACCATGAATGAAATAAAGCAGGATGCTGTGACTATAATATTTTTATGCTTGGAATTAAAGAAACCCTCAACTTCCATCCAGTATAAAACCTCACATGTCTAAAATACAGCCCAAATGTGAATTCCCAATATCTGATGCTGTTTTGAATTTGTCTTCTCGCTCGATCAACGTGCATAGGATTAAAAATTCTTTATAATGCTGAGAGCAATTCTGAAACAACTATTTTGAATGAGGCTCACCAATAAATTTTAATCAATATTTTGTCTTGTTTAAGAAGCTGACCTTGGGGCACTGGAATTATGGAGAACTTCAGACTTGGGAAAAAGCTTCAAAACCATTGGTGTGAAAATCTATTCATTTGGTCTTGGGGGACGTTTCCTTTTTGCCTCTGTGATGGCTGAAAAGGTGAGCACTTGCCTCTTCTCTCCGGAGCTGATTCTTTTGTAAACTCACTGAGCCCCGCCACAGCGACTCGTCCTTGTCACCGCAGGGTCTGGGGGTGATGCTCCTCATGGAGGCTGACACTCTTGTGGGCCACCCTGTATCTAGCCTTCTGCCACCACGGGAATACTAGCCTCCTTTGGGGAATAGGCAGACCCAGTATTTGGGCTTTACTCAGGCATGGATATCTGAAAAAAGCAACCCACTTTTCATTATCCCGTAGTAAAATAAAAATAGAAAGCATTAATTGACTGCCTACTGTAGCCAGGTACTATTCTAGTTCCAGAAAAAAGCAGTGAACAAAATAGATAAATTTTCTGCTTTCAGAGCTTCTATACAAGGGACAAAAGAGACACTAAACCAATAAATATGACACATCAGGTATAATTAAAGCTATGAAGAAATCCGAGCAGTGTAAGGAAATAGAAAGTGACAGGCATTGAAGCAGTGCCATTTTAAATAAGGTGGTTGGGTGGCCTCTGAGACCTGACTGGAGTGAGTGCATGACCCTGTGGCCATCTGGGAGGACGGCAGGGTGAGGAAAGAGCAAGCGCAAGGCCCCTCAGGCCAGAGTGTGCTGGACAGACTGGAGAAAGGGAGAGGCCGTGTGGTGGGTGCAAAGAGGGCGCTCAGAGGTGCGGCCTGGTGGGGAGCTGGTGGCCGGGTTGACCAGGGCCCTTCTGGGTCGTGAGTAAGACACCAACTTTGATTCTTCATGTGTTGGGGAGCTGTGAATGGGCTGTGAGCTGGGGAATGACGTGATTTGGATTTTCTTTTTACAGAATAGATGTGCCTGATGGGGCAAGAATGGAGGCAGTGAGAGCAGTGGAAGGCTGTCAGAGTGGTCAAGCTAGGGAGACGGTCACTTGGGCCAGGCTGGTGACAGTGAGTGAGGGGAGAAGTGGTAAGGCTGTGGATGTTTTTAAACATGTTCTATTCTTTTTTAAAAAATATATTCAAAGAGATTTTTTTCCTTAGATTATTTATTTATATGAAAGGCAAAGTGACACACACGGAGAGAGAAATAGAGACAACCTTCCATCTTCTGGTTCACTCCCCAACTGGCTGAAATGGCTGGGCTGATCCAGGCTGAAGCCAGGAGCCCAGAACTCCATCTGGGTCTCCTACATGGGTGACAGGGGCCCAAGTACTTGGATCATTTTCTGCTGCTTTCCCTGGTGCATCAGCAGGGAGCTGGATCACAAGCACAGCAGCCAAGAGTAGAACCCCCACTCCAACATGGAATATTGGCATTGTGAGCGATGGCTTAACCTGCTGAGCCACAGTGCCATGCCAGACATATTTGTTCTAATTGAGAGAATGAGCAGAACCAAGAATAACCTCATTTTTCTATTTATTATCTCTTTTTATTTGAGAGACAGAAAAAGAGACAGGGAGAAGGAGCTGCCATCTGCTAGTTCACTCCCTAAACGCCTGCAATGACCAGGGCTAGAGCCAGGAGCCAGGAACTCAACCCATATTTTGCACATGAGTGTCAGGGATCCGATTACTTGAGCTGTCACCAGGGTCTGCATCAGCAAAAAGCTGGAGTCAGGAGCCCGAGCCAGGCACCCTGATGGGGGACATAGATGTCTTGACCATTGTCTTAGCTGCTAGGCCAAATGCCTGTCCCCAAGGATAACTTTAAAGTCTTTGGCCTGAGCAGCTGGGTGAATGGTGATGCCATTTTTTGAGATGGCTCCTTCTGCAGGAGATCTAGGTTTGTGGGAGAAAAATCAAGAGTTCATTTTTTGATTACGAGATGCCTATTTGACATCTAAGTAGAAATGTCAAGTAAGCATTTGGGTATCTGGATCTCTGAAAATGATGTAATGAGCTACTGTCATCTGGAGGAGTGAGTAGGTGGAGAAGAGTTGGGGGATACTGAGCAAGTCCTGAAGCACCCCAACCCTAAAAAGGTTGTGAAGAAAAGCAGGGACCAGTTAGGTAGTGGGAAATAGGGACAATGTGACCACGAAAGCCAAGTGGGGAAACTGTTTCAAGGAGGAGGAAGTGATGAGCTGTGTTAAACTCGACTGAGATGTTGAGTTAGATGAGATCTGGGAATTACCCTCCGGTTTAGAAGAGTGGAGGTTGCTGGTGGCCTGGATGAAAGCAGTTTCTTTGAGTTATGAAGCTAAAAGTCTGGCTGAAATGGCTTCAGGGAGAACTGGAAACAGGGAAATAGACAGGGTAAGTACAGATAACTCAAGGATTTTGTAGTAATCCTCCTAGCAACTCCACGAGCCAATGCTGTTGTCTCTATTTCATGGGTAAGTTGATTAAGTAACTTCCTAGGGTCAGCCGGTGTGGAACACTGGTGGAAATCAGACCATCGTATCCCAGAGGGAGCCCTTACAGCCCCTTTACTGCACTGCCACTATCTACCAAGTTAAAATTCTGCAACATGCTTTTGAATCCTCCTTTCTACCTTTAGCGATGAGAATAAGATTTAAAGTCATTAGGCAACTCTGTGTAAGTTTTAAAAAATACATTAAATGTACTTAATGAACTTTAGAGTATTTATCCTATGGAGGTCCTGAGATTAATTCTCATGCCCTGGTTAACTTTGTCTCAGAACAATTTTTTAGTTATTTGTCAGAGAGTAAATTTTCATTGCCTTCTTAACAGATTCCGTTTATTTATTTATTTATTTTTGACAGGCAGAGTGGAAAGTGAGAGAGAGAGAGAGACAGAGAGAGAAAGGGCTTCCTTTTGCCATTGGTTCACTTTCCAATGGCTGCCATGGCTGGCACGCTGATCCGAAGCCAGGAGCCAGGTGCTTCTCCTGGTCTCCCATGCGGGTGCAGGGCTCAAGGACTTGGGCCATCCTCCACTGCACTGCTGGGCCACAGCTGAGAGCTGGCCTGGAAGAGGGGCAACCGGGACAGAATCCAGCGCCCCAACTGGGACTAGAACCCGGTGTGCTGGCGCAGCAAGGCGGAGGATTAGCCTAGTGAGCCGCGGTGCCGGCCGTAATCATCGTTTTAAGAACTATATAAGCAAATGTATGTGAGTGGTGCTAAGGCCAGGCCTATGATAGTTCCATCAAATCCTTAGCTTTATTGAAAGACACAACATACCAGAGACTGGGAGGACACTTGTGACAGGGCCAAAAGAGAATGCCAAGATAACCTTGCTTCAACAGAATGTGTTGTCCATTGCCTGGCACTTGGCTAGAGGTTAGAAATTGCTTTGGTAATTGATATTGTGACCTCTCCTTTATAACAGTTGTGCCCTTTGGGGAGATGGAGAATAATTATTATTTTAAATGCCTCTGTTCATGTTCCTGCACATGGTGTCTCGGCAGAAAATTAAAAAGGTAAATATTGGCATTTGTTCCAGGATACAACAAGAAGGATCCATGTGTCAACCGATCAAGGGGACACCTGGAGCATGGCCCAGCTTCCCTCTGTGGGGCAAGAACAGTTCTATTCTATCCTGGCTGCCAATGATGACATGGTGTTCATGCATGTAGATGAACCTGGAGGTAAGAGCTGTTTAGTGACTCACTCTTGAATGAATAGAGATTTAAACTTTGGACCTTAGTTTAAGTAGCTTTCCTTCTTATATGATTGTTCCTCTTATCTCTGGAAATTTTATTGATATTCTGCTATTTATATTGTCCTGGAGATAGCGCTTGGCCTCTGATACAAAGGCCCCTTGTTCGGTATCTGCTGTAGTTTGTGTCTGTGCTCCCGTGTTCCAGAGCAGACCTGCTCAGAGAATGGTCAGCAGGCTGGTGCCATTTTGCAAACTCTGTTCCCAGAAAAGTACAGAAATCGAGCAAAAATGTTTAGAAACTCTGACTGTCATTTGACAAAGTAGTTTTGTGTTTGTTGAATCTAGTGATAAAAACTCGGGGCTCAGGGCCAGCACTGTGTCATAGCGGGTACAGCCGCTGCCTGCAGTGCTGCATCCCATATGGGCACCAGTTTGAGTCCCAGCTGCTCCACTGTCAATCCAGCTCTCTGCTATGGCCTAGGAAAGCATGGCCTAGGAAAGCAGTAGAAGATGGCCCAAGTCCTTGGGCCCCTGCACCCGTGTGGGAGACCTGGAAGACGCTCCTGGCTCCTGGTTTGGGATCAGCCCAGCTCCAGCCATTGCAGCCATTTGGAGAATGAAGCAGTGGATGGAAGACCTCGAAGACCTCTCTTCTCTCTCTCTCTCTCTGCTTCTGCCTCTGTAATTCTGCCTCTCAAATAAAGTAAATCTTTAAAAAAAAAAAAAAAAAAAGAAAGCAATGTTTTTAAAAAAATTGGGGGCTTATGTTTTATGTTTTAGCTGCCTTTTCTATTTCATTTTTTCTAATTTTTTTTTTTTTTGACCAATAGAGTTAGACAGTGAGAGAGACAGAGACAGAGAGAAAGGTCTTCCTTCCATTGGTTCACCCCCCAAATGGCCACTACAGCCAGCGCTGAACCGATCCAAAGCCGGGAGCCAGGTGCTTCCTCCTGGCCTCCCACACTGGTGCAGGGCCCAAGCACTTGGGCCATCCTCCACTGCCTTCCCGGGCCACAGCAGAGAGCTGGACTGGAAGAGGAGCAGCCGGGATTAGAACCCAGTACCCATATGGGATGCTGGTGCTGCAGGCGGAGGATTAGCCAAGTGAGCCATGGCACTGGCCCCCATTTTTTCTAATTATTAACTAATTTAATGTTTATTTTTATTTATTTGAAAGGCAGGGACAGAGAGGTTTTCCATCTGCTGATTCACTGCCCAAATGCATACAACAGCTGGAGGTAGGCCAGCCTGAAGCCAGGAGCCTGTAACTTTTTTTTTTTTTTTTTTTGACAGGCAGAGTGGACAGTGAGAGAGAGAGAGACAGAGAGAAAGGTCTTCCTTTTTTGCCATTGGTTCACCCTCCAATGGCTGTGGCCGGTGCACCGCACTGATCCAAAGGCAGGAGCCAGGTGCTTCTCCATGGGGTGCAGGGCCCAAGGACTTGGGCCATCCTCCACTGCACTCCCTGGCCACAGCAGAGGGCTGGCCTGGAAGAAGGGCAACCGGGACAGAATCCAGCGCCCCGACCGGGACTAGAACCTGGTGTGCCGGCGCCACAGGCGGAGGATTAGCCTAGTGAGCCGCGGCGCCGGCCAGCCTGTAACTTCATCCAGGTCTCCCATGTGGGTAGCAGGGACTCAAATATTTGAGCTATATTGTCTACTGCCTCCCAGGAGGTGCATTAGCAGGAAGCTAGACTGGAAGCAGAGTAGCTGGGACTTGAACTCCAGTACGGCATTCAGGCATAAGCAGCATCTTAACCCACTTACAACACTTACTCCCAGTGATTACTTTTTATCATATTTTACAAAAGCATCAGTTTATGACATTGTGGGAATAAAAATTGATCTTTCACCTTAGAAGGTTTGAGAAGCATTGTTCTACAGTCATGGCTGTGGTAGCCATTTGGGGAGTGAAGCAGCAGACGGAAGATCTCTGTGCATCACTCTGCCTTTCAGATAAATCTTTAAAAAGAAAGATTTGGAAATGTATAAAACAAGCATTAATACGGTACCCCTAATACTAAAAGTATGATATCTGGGAAGAGGTTTTCTGTAGCATCTGATTAATTCATTCAACAAGCTCGGCAGTTCCCACATCCCAGGCACTAAGCTGGGAACTAGAAATAAGACAGGCAAAAAGATCCTGAGCATCAGACCTTGAGTAGCCTCAGGTCTCCGTCTCCATCCTGAAGAGACAGTGGCTGGAGTGTTTGGTCAGCCGGGCAGTCGTGTGTGTGTGCTTAGACTACTGCTTTCCCTGTTCGCGCCACGACGTGGTGTTTTTGTTCATTTGCTTATTTCAGACACTGGATTCGGCACAATCTTTACCTCAGATGATCGAGGCATTGTCTATTCCAAGTCTCTGGACCGACATCTGTACACCACCACAGGTGGAGAGACCGACTTTACCAACGTGACCTCCCTCCGCGGCGTCTACATAACAAGCACGCTCTCAGAAGGTGAGTCTGGGCGCAGCCCTTCCTTGGCCGAGCGGCTTCCGCAGGACAGGTCAGCATTTGAGGCTTCAGGAAAAACTGATGCTCCCATCCCCCCAGGGGTGTTGCTTGTCCAGCCAACAAGACTAGCCATGTTAATCCTGGCTCCCTAGTTTAAACGAGTTACCGTAAGTATAACTAGGAGACAGCAAAGCAACAGCAGGTAGACGAAATATGTTTTAGAGTCTGTGCTGTTTATGTTATAAAAGGAATCTTCTGTAATGAGAGGTTTAGGCCTCCAGGAATGAGCCTGAATTGGCACCACTTCTCTTCTTATAGAGGCCATAGCCGTGGCAGCCAAGATCTTCCTGGGCGCTCTGTGACGGCTCCTTAGAGCTCGCCTTTACCAAGGCCCAAGAATACAAATCAGCACGTTACTGTCAAGTACGAAGACTCTGCAAGTGTAGCTATGTGTGCATATATTTTCCAGCAGGCGCTAGGAGCTGCTTGTTTTTATTTTATAAATTCCTCCCAGTGGCCTAACCAGGTCCCAAGTGAGACTGGCTCACTGCTTTCCTGCCGGAGCTCCTCTCTGACTCTTCTCTCCTCCACTTGCTGCGCTCCAGTCACAGGAGGCCCTGCCAGGCCTGAAGCACGCCAGGGCACCCGTGGGCCTGGGGCTGTCACTGCCAGTGCCTTCTGTCTCCCCAGATGCCTGAGGCTGACGCGCCCTCTTTTGAGTGTTGCTCACATGCCGCTCGCGGAGCAAGACCAGCATGACTCTCCTGTTTTACATCCATCCTGCCCTCCTCCTCCCCCAGATTCTCTCTCTCCCCCTACAAAGATTTGTTGACTTATTTAAAAGGCAGATTTACATATGGGATGACAGCATCACGGGTGGCGGCTTAACCTGTGCCACAACACCAGCCCCCACATACACACTCTCAACCCACCTTTACCTGAACTGTTTCTCCGTGCCATCTACTGGCTAACGTACTTGGTATATCTGGTGACTGGCATGGAAACTGCAGAAAGTCCTGTAGATTTTGTCTGTTTGATTCACTAATATATTCCCAATCAGTTTTCACATAGAGAGCACTCAATAAATGTTGGATAATTGAGTTTTCCTTCACTTGATTTCTTATTTGTTTTTTCCTAGGAAAACTCAAAAGATATTGTCTCTGGATTTAAACCTGTAATATTTTATACTCATATCATTGAAGAATAGTTCATATACTCATATCATTAAAATAAAAATGGGAAAGAGATGTTTAAAAAAAAAAGGTCTAAGAGGGATAGGAAAGGGGAAAGTAAGTAGAGAGTGAATCATTAGGAATTATTAATCCGGGCTTATGCACAAACATATTCAAGTCTTTTTTAAAGATTTATTTATTATTTTGGGCCGGCGCTGTGGCACAGTGTGTTACAGCCCCAGCCTGCATCACTGGCATCCCATATGGGTGCTGGTTCAAGTCCAGGCTGCTCTATTTCCAATCCAGTTCCCTGCTAATGTGCCTGGGAAAGCAGCAGAGGATGGCCTAAGCCCTTGGGTCCCTGCATCCACCTGGGAGACCCAGAAGAAGCTCCTAGCTCCTGGCTTCGGGTCAGCTCAGTTCCAGCTATTGTGGCCATCTGGGGAGTGAACCTGCAGCTGGCTTTCTCTCTCTCTCTCTCTCTCTCTCTTTCTCTCTCTCTCTCTCTCTCTCTCTCTCTTTCTCTCTCTAACTCTGTCTTTCAAATAAATAAAATGAATCTTTTTTAAAAAGAGATTTATTTATTTGAGAGGCACAGTTAAGAGAGGGAGAGAAAGAGAGAGATATCAATAATCTTCCAACTTCTGGTTCATTCCCCCAACAGCTGGAGCTGGGCCAGGCCGTAACCAGGATCCTGGAACTCTATCTGGATCTCCCACACGAGTGGCAAGGGCCTAAGTACTCGGGCCATTATCCACTGCCTTCCCAAGTGCATTAGTAGGTAGCTGGATCAGAAGTGGAGCAGCCTACAGTTGAACAGGCACTCTGATATGAAGCGCTGGTGTTGCAAGCGCTGCACCATAATGCTGGCTCCACATACTTAGATCTTGAGAGTCTTTAAAACAAGTCTGGCATCATGACCTTGTCTGAGTAAAGGTCAGAATGCTTCACCATGGTGAAGCAGGCAAGGAAGGAAAATGGACCTCCGCCTGTGCATATTGGCAAGGAGTTCAAAGGTACCTCTTTTCAAGAGTACCAGTACCTTAGGGCAGTGTTTAGTTCAGCAGTTAAGGTGCCACTTGGGATGCTCACAACACAAATCAATGTATGTAGTTTGAGTCCTGGCTCCGCTTCCAATCCAGCATACCCTGGGAGTCAACAGATGATGACTCAAGTATTTGGGTACTTGCCACCCATGTGGGAGACCAGAATCCATTAGATTCTGGGTTCCCAGCATTGGACTAATGCAGCCCTGGCTGTCACGGGCAGACGTTTGGGAGTGAACCAGTAGATGGAAGATTGCTCTTTCTCTTTCTCTGTATTTCCAGTACAGTGGGGGAAAAAATGTATGTTTAAGAAATAATATCAGGGGCCGGCGTGGTGGCAGGTTAAGCCTCTGCCTGCAGTGCTGGCATCCCATATGGGTATTGATTCAAGACCCAGCTGCTCCTCTTCCTATCTAACTACCTGCTAATGAGCCTGGGAAAGCAGTGCAAGATGGCCCAAGTACTTGGGGCCCTGCACTCATGTGGAAGACCCGGAAGAAGTTCCTGGCTCCTGGACATTTGAGTAGTGAACTAGCAGATGGAAAATATTTCTCTCTCTGTCTGTCCTTCTCTGTAACTCTGCCTTTCAAATAAGTAAGTTAATCTTTTTTTTAAAAGATTTTATTTACTTATTTGACAGGTAGAGTTACAGACAGTGAGAGAAACAGAGAGAGAGGTCTCCCTTCCATTGGTTCACTCCCCAAATGGCCACAATGGTCAGAGCTGCGCCAATCCAAAGCCAGGAGCCAGGAGCTTCTTCTAGGTCTCCCATGCGGGTGCAGGGCCCAGCGACTTGGGCCATTCTCCACTGCTGTCCCAGGCCACAACAGAGAGCTGGATGGGAAGAGGAGCAGCCAGGACTAGAACCAGTGTCCATATGGGATGCTGGCGCCGCAGGCAGAGGATTAACCTACTGCGCCACTGCGCGGCCCCAAATAAATAAATCTTTAATAAACAAACAAAAACCAGAATCAGTCTCAGATGATTTCTGGAATCAACTGGGTCCTGTTCAGATAGGAAGCCTTCTTAAATCTGTGTTTAAACTGCTCAGTTACTCACCAACACTGAACTGTTTTTATGGGGTTGTAATCTTACAGACTCTGGGGTTATAATGGTGATATATGGTTTCAATTAGGAGGAAGTTATGCAATGATAAACTGAATTTCATTGGGTGCTTCCGGTGGGTCAGGCTTAATATTGTTCTTTTCCCACTCAGATAATTCCATCCAGACTATGATCACTTTTGACCAAGGAGGCAGGTGGAAGCACCTAAGGAAGCCTGAAAACAGTGAATGTGATGCTACAGCGAAAAACAAGAATGAGGTTTGTTTACTCCACTTACCGTGTGTGCTTGGAGCAAAGCCGCTTTTCTGCTCTGCCGTGATGGGTGTCAGGCTTTTGCATACCAAAGTTTTATACCGCATTAGGGTCACGTTTTATACTTGATTATCGATGTTTTAGTTTGGAACTGAGAATAATGAAATTATCTTAAAATCTGGGAAACAGAAACTGTGAGCAAAGGTAAAAAAAAACTGTGGATTGTCTTTTTAAAAAGATCTGTTTATTTGAAAGGCAGAGTGACAGAGAGAGGAAGAGAAAGATCTTCCATCTACTTGTTTATTCCCCAGTGGCCACAAGAGCCAGGCCAGGCCAAAACCAGGAGCCAGGAGCTCCATACGGATCCCTCACTTGAGTGGCAGGGGCCTAAGTTCTTGGGCCATCTCCTGCTACCTCCCTAGGCACATAAGCAGGGAGTTGGCTGGGACTCCGAGCGGCCCTCCGTTATGGGACGCTGGCAGTGTAGGTGGTGTAACACACAGCACTGCACTGCCATTTCCCGGGATTATTTATCTTTTGAAGAAGGACAAACTGAAAGCTAAGAATTTGTTTTTTACTGAAGCATGGAATGGAAACAGAACAGACAGGTAGGCTGCTGATTCACAGGGGTGAACATGGCAGCTAAAAAGCTTAGAAATCCTACAAGATGCCAGAGAGCAGCCTTGCATGAGCAGCGCCGAGCTGTGCTGGTGAGGCACAAGTGGGCGCTCCTCTCTCTGGGCTCACCTAGTCAGGGCTGGGAGATATCTGGGTAGTGCCTGGGAAGGCAGGAGCAGTCCCTCCTGGGAGAGCTGGAAGCTAAAGCTAGAAAGGTGTGGGACCACACTGCGGCACAGCAGGCTAAGTGCTACCTGTGACACCAGCATCCCGTATCCAAGTGCAGTTCAAGTCCTGGCTGTTCTGCTCCCCACCCAGCTCCCTGTTAATGTGCCTGAGAAAGCAACAGAAAATGGTCCCGGTACTGGGGCCTCTGCCACCTCTGTGGTAGACCTGGATGGAGTTCTGGGCTCTTGGCTTCAGCCTGGGCTGGCCCTGGCCTTTGCAGCCATTTGGGGAGTGAACCAGCTGGTAGAAGATTGATCTCTCTGTCTCTCTCTCGTACTCTGCCTTTCAAATCAATAAATAAATGTTTTAAAAAATACAAGGGTGCCACCCCTAGGAGACCCCAGATTCCACGAGTGACAGGCCTAATGAAGAGAGAGAAAGAGTGGGAAAGAAAAGAAAAGCAGGCTTACATTTGGCTCTTACAGAATTTGAGAGGCGCTTGGGTGACACTGGGATTTTATTACTGAAAATGACAATGCTGGTAGCTCCTGAGCTCCCCTCAGACTCCCTGTTGTGTTTCAGGAGCCCGAGGGGTGATCAGAAGTGTACACCTCTGCTGCCCCACCACACTCTGTCCCTTCCCCACACACATGATGCTGCTGAGTGTATCTCTGCCTTCTTATTCTTTTCCCATCCCTCTGCCTGGACCTTGCCGTGGGCCTGTGTCCTCACGTTAAGCCTGGGCAGACAGAGCAGACTCCTTATCTGCACCGCCACCCTCTGCCTCGCCCTTCCCAACTCCCTTGGCGGCCCCCCTTTGCCTGTGACTGATGGCTGTGCCTCTGAGCTGGTGAATGAAAAGGTCTGTCCTATCAGGCTCCTGCCTTCCATCGTCTTATCACTGACACACCTCTGCCTTAAACACCCTGCCTTTGCCCCACATCTACATCCTTCCACACTTCCTGGGGAAGCTGGGCTTGTGTCCCTCAACCTCGATAAATCAGGATTAGGGAAACAGGCCAGCGCTGTGGTGCAGCAGGTAAAGCCACTGCCCGCAGTGCCAGCATCCCATATGAGCACCTGTTGAGTCCTGGCTGCTCCTCTTCTGATCCAGCTTCCTGCTAATGCACCTGGGAAAGCAGTGGAGGATGGCCCATGTCCGTGGGCCCCTGCACCCACGTGGGAGACCCGGAAGAAGTACCTGGCTCCTGGCTTAAGACTGGCCCAGCTCCAGCCATTGCGGCCATTTGGGGAGTGAACCAGTGAATGGAAGATCTCCCACTCTGTTTCTTTCCTTCTCTCCCTGTAACTATGCCTTTCAAATAAAATAAACAAATATTTGAACAAACAATAAACCAATAAACAAAGGATTAGGGAGATCCTAATCATCCTCAGGGCCTGCCCAGTTAGAACTAATCGGTCCTCTGTTTCATTAGTAGCTGGCTTACACTGCCTTTCTAAAAAATTGAGTTAAGCATATATAATATTAGCCATTTTAGCCATTTTGAACCTCTTTACTACAATACGTTTATCTATTTGAGGGACAGAAGATAAGGCTCCCATCTGCTGGTTCACTGGGGCCAGGCGAGGAACCAGGCACTCAGCAGGTCTTCCCAGTGGGTGACAGGGACCCAACTGCTGAGCCATCACCTCCTGCCTCCCAGGTGTGCATCAGCAGGAAACGAGAATGAGGAGCAGAGCTGGGACTCAGCCCCAGGCTCTGACATAGGACACAGGTGTCCCAGGCAGCATCATAACCGGCAGGCCAGAGACCCAGCCTGAACCTCTTTTAAAGCACTTTCATTCTGCTTTATACCCCAACTAGTTTCTCATATCTATTTCTCTCCCCCCCCCCAGCTTGCGATGTAACTGATGTATAAAAACTGTGTATATTTATGGTGTACAGTGTATTGTTTGATATATGTATATATTGTGTGATGGTGACTGCAGTTAAAGTAATTAACATATCTATAGGAGCTGGCATTTACCTAGCAGCGAAGATACCCACATCCCACAGGGAGTGCCTGGATTGCCAGCGCAGCCTCCTGCCATTACAGACTCTGGAAGGCAGTGGAGATGGCTCACGTGACTGGATGCCTGCCACCCCTCTGGGAGACCTGGATTACATTCCTAGCCCCTGGTTTTGACTCTGACCAGTGTGGGCATTTGAGTAGTGAACCAGATGATGAGAACTCTTTCTGCCTCCCAAATAAATAAATAAAACAAACGTGACTACCACCTCAGTTATCTTTATTAATGGCTCTGTCCTTTCAGCACATTTCAAGTGCATGACACAGCACCATGCACTGTAGTCACCATGGTGCATTGCTTTCCAGAAAGGTATCTGTCCTGTGTAACTGACACTTTGTTTCTTTTGGTCAACATCTTCCCCACCCCCTGTTCCACCAGCCCCCAGCCTCTGGCAGTCCCTATGCTTCTGTTCCTTCAGCTTTTCTTGTGATATTTGTCCCTCTGTGCCCAGCTTACTTAGCACACTTAGTATAATGTTCTCTGGGTTCAACTATGTTGTTGCAAATGGCAGGATCTCCTTTTTTAGGGCTGAATAATATTCCATTGTGTGTATATCACACATTTTCTTTTTTTTTTAAGATTTATATATTTAAAAGGAAGAAGTACAGAGAGGCAGAGAGAGAGAGTGAGGTCTTCCATCCGCTGGGTCACTCTCCAAGTGGCCGTAATGACTGGGGCTATGCCAATCTGAAGCCAGGAGCCAGGAGCTTCTTCCAGGTCTCCCATGTGGGTGCAGAGGCCCAAGGACTTGGGCCATCATCTGCTGCTTTCCCAGGCCATCACAGAGAGCTGGATCTGAAGTGGAGCAGCCAGGACTCGAACCAGCGCCCATATGGGATGCTGGCACTGCAGGCGGCAGCTTTACCTGCTATACCACAGCGCTGGCCCCACACACTCTCTTTATCCACTCATCCATCATTTGAGACTTAGAGCTGAGTCTGTATCCTGGTTGTGAATAATACTGGAGTGACTAGTGGGTGCAGTATTTTCTCGACATTCTGATGGGTTGTATCCCCAGTAGGTGGAGTTGCTGGGAGTTCTATGTTTATTTTTTTCTAGGAAGCTCCATGCTGTTTGCAGCATGACTGCACCAATTTTCATTCCCACCAACAGCGCACAAGGGTTTCCTCTTCTCCACATTCTCACCTCCACTTGCTATCTTTGTCTTTTTGACCATAGCCTAATAGGTGTGAGGCAATATCTCACTCTGGTTTTTATTTCTATTTCCCTGATAATTAGTAATGTTGAGTTTTTTATTTACTCATCAGCTATTTGTATGTCTTTAGAAAAATGGTTATTTGGACCTTTTGCACATTTTTTAATTGTTTTATCTGCTTTCTTGTGATTGGGTTTGGATATTAATCCCTTATCAGTTATATGGTTTGCTATATTGTCTTCTATTCTGTAGTTTGTTTCTTCTTTCTTTTGATTGTTTCCCTTGCTTTGCAAAATCTTTTAGTTTGATGCAGTCCCTTTTGTCTTTGTTTACTTTTTGTTGCCTGTATTTTTGGAGTCATATTCAAAAGGCCACCACTGAAGAGAAGTGTTTTAGAGGTGGGTGTTGTGGCACAGTGGGTTAAGCCATCACTTGCGATACCTGAATCTTATGTCAGAGTGTTGGGGTTTGAGTTCTACCTCCACTTCCAGTCCAGCTTCCTGCTAATGTGCATCCCAAAAGGCAACAGATGATCGCTGAAGTACTTGGATCCCTGCTACCCACGTTAGAGACCCAGTTCCAGGCTCCCAGTTTTAGTCCGGCCCAGCCCTGGCTGTTGCAGGCATTTGGGAAGTGAGCCAACATATGGTAGATCCATATTCTCTCTGTCTCTCTCCCTGTCCCCCCCTCCCTCCCTCTCCCTCCCTCTTTCTCTCTCTCTCTCTCTCCATCTGCCTTTCAAATAAATAAATAAACATTTGATTGAAAGAAGGGGCAGCTTTTTACCTGAAGAAGCTTTTTATCTGTGTTTTCTTCTAGTAGCTTTACATTCCAAGACTTACATTTACATCGCTAATCCATTTTAAATTGGTTTTTGTTATGAAATGAGGGCCCACATTCATTCTTCTGCATATGGATATCCAGTTTTCCCAACGCCATTTATTAGAGAGGATGTCTTTTTCCCATGTGCATTCCTGGCACCTTGGTGGAAGATCAATAGACTATAAATTTATGAATTTCTAGGTTTTCTATTCTCTTCCCTTGGTCTGAGTTTCTGTCTTTATGCCAGTATAACACTGTTTTGATTACCATAGATTTTTGAAACCAGGCAAGGCAATGTGATACCTCCAGGTTTGTCCTTTTTGCTTTTGACTGTCTTGGTTATTTGGAATCTTTTTTGTGGTTCTATATGAACTTAAGAATTTTTTAAATTTCTGTTTCAAAAAATGTCATTGAGGCTTTAATATGGATTGTGCTGAATCTGTAGATCATTTTGGGTAGTATGGCCCTTTTAATTATTGATTCTTCTAATCCATGAACACAGGATACCTTACCATTTATTTATACTTTCAGTTTCTTTCATAAATGTTTCATAGTTTTCAGAATTTAAATCTTTCACCTTCTCAGTTAAATTTATTCCTAAGTAATTTTTCCTTTAGTTTTTAATTTTTGATGCTTTGTAAATGGAGTTTTCTTGATTTCTCTTTTGGATAGTTTGTTGTTATAGTGTATTTTTGTATATCAATTTTTATCCTGCAATTTGTCTGAATTTGCTTTTTGGTTTTAACAAGTTTTTCTCTATTGGAGCTTTTTAAAAATTTTTTTAACTTATTTTTTAAGCATATGCAAATTTATTTTTTTTTTCAAGGTACTGGTGGAGCTTAAACAGGTATTATGGTGGAGTCTTTAGGGATTTCTGCATCTGAGATCCTGTCATCCTGCAAACAGACTCAGTCTCACAATCTTATTTCTCCTTGTGTGGTTTGGTTGAGTTGCCTTTTGCTTTTCTTACCTGATTTCTCTGGCTAGGACTTCTGGTACTACAGTGAATACAAGTATGAGAGTGGGCACCCTGGGCGGAGAGCCAGAGCTTTCAGCTGTTCCCCATTGAGTCTGATCGCTGATACTAGCAGTGGCTGTTTCAGCACATTCCTTCTGTGCCTAATTGGTTTTTTTTTATATTTATTTATTTATTTGAAAGGCAGAGTTAGAGAGTGAGAGACATAGATTTTCCATCTGCAGGTTCACTCCCCAAATGGCCACAATGGTTGGAGCTGGGCCTGTCTGAAGCCAGGAGCCAGGAGCCTCTTCTGGGTCTCTGGTGAGAGTGAAGGGGCCCAAGGACTTGGCTTTCCTCTGCCGTGTTCCCAGGCGCATTCGCAGGGAGCTGGATCAGAAGTGCAGCAGCTGGGACGTGAAGCAGTGCTCACGTGGGATACTGGTGCTGCAGGCAGTGACTTAACCTGCTGTGCCACAACACCGGCCCCCTTATTATTTATTTTTTTAAAAGATTTTATTTATTTTATTTGAGAGGTAGAGTTACAGACAGTGAGAGGGAGAGACAAAGAAAAAGGTCTTTCCTTTGTTGGTTCACTCTCCAAATGGCCGCAATGGCTGGAAGTGGGCCGATCTGAAGCCAGGAGCCAGGCACTTCTTCCCAGTCTCCCATGCAGGTGCAGGGGCCCAAGGACTGGGCCATCTTCCATGCTTTCCCAGGCCATAGCAGAGAGCTGGATTGGAAGAGCAGCTGGGACTAGAACCGGTACCCATACGGGATGCTGGCGCCACAGGCAGAAGATTAACCTGCTGTGCCACAGCACCAGCCCCAATATTTATTTATTTATTTTATCTCTCTTAGCATCACTTATTTTTTTTTTTAACTTTTTTATTATTTGACAGACAGTGTAAGAGACAGACAGAAAGGTTTTCCTTTCCGTTGGTTCACCCCCCAAATGGCAGCTACAGCTGGCACTGTGACAGTCTGAAGCCAGGAGCCAGGTGCTTCCTTCTGGTCTCCCATGTGGGTGCAGGGACCCAAGCACTTGGGCCATCCTCCACTGCCCTCCCAGGCCACAGCAGAGAGCTGAACTGGAAGAGGAGCAACCGGGACTAGAATCCGGTGCCCATATGGTTTGCTGGCGCCTTAGGTGGAGGATTAACCAAGTGAGCCATGGTGCTGGCCCCACTTAAGTTGGTTTGTGGCTTTAATTTTTAGGAGGAATTTGAGAAGGATTGGTATTAAATCTTGAAAGAGTATTTGGGCAGCTGGCATTGTGCTGTAGTGGGTTAAGCTACCAGCTGTGATGTTGGCAACCCATATGGACACTGATTCAATTCCCAGCTGTTCCACATCTGACATCTTTGCCAATGTGCTTGGGAGAGCAGCAGAAGATAGCCCAGGTGCTTGGGCCCCTGTACCCACATGGGAGACCTGGAAGAAGCTCTTGGCTCCTGGCTTCGGCCTGGCCCAGTCTCAGCTGTTGTGGCCATCTGGAGAGTGAACCAGTGGATGGAAGATCTGTATCTCTACCTCTTTCTGAAACTCTGCCTTTCAAAGAAGTGAATAAAACTTAAAAAAAGAGAAGAAGAGAGGCTGGCATTGTATATCAGATTAAGCTGTCACCTGTGACACTGGCATCCCATATGGGCACAGATTCAAATCCTAGCTGCTCTACTTTTGATCCAACTCTCTGCTAAGGAAGAAGGCTGAAGTCCTTGGGTCCCTGCACCCAGGTGGGAGACCCAGATGAGCCTCCTGGGTTCTGGCTTCAGCCTGGCCCATCCCAGGCCGTTGCGGCCATTTGGGGAATGAACCAGAAGATGGAAGACTTCTCTCTCTGTTTCTCCCTCCCTCTCTCTCTGTAACTCTGCCCATCAAATAAATAAAAATAAATCCTTATTTTTTAAAAAAGAATATTTTGTAGAATTCACTAATGAATCTACCTGGGCCTAAGCTGTTCTTTGCTGGGAGGATTTTTTCTTTTTTTTTTTTTTTAATATTTGTTTATTTTCATCAACTTATCAACTTGAATGGCAGAGTGACAGAGAAAAACAGATCTTCTTTTCGCCAGTTCACTCCCCTACCAAATGCCCACAATAGCCAAGACTGGACAAGGCCAAAGCCTGAAACCCAGAACTTTATCCAGGACTCCCACGTCGGCGGAGGGGTCCAAGCACCTGAGCTGCTGCCTCCCAGGGTGCATTAGCTGGAAGTCGGATCAGAAGTAGAGGAGCTAGGACTTGAACCAGACATTCTGATGTAGGAAATGGGCATCCCAAGTGCACACACATGCATATAGCAACATTATTCACAGTAACCAAAAGGTAGAAGCAACGCAGTTGTCCACCAACAGATGAGTGAGTAAATAAAATGTGGTGTATATATGAATATTAACCAGTCTTAAAAAGGAAAGAAGTTCTGACATATACTGTGGCATAGATGATCCTTGAGGACACTATGCTAATGAAGTAAGCCAGTCACACACACACACAAAACAAATATTGGGTGATTTCATTTATATGAGGTCCCATTTCCAAAGGCAGAAAGCAGAATGGGGGTTGCCAGGGGCTGGGAGAAACAGTGGTCGGGGGTTGTTGCTTTATAGGTGATAGAGTTCCAGTGTTGCAAGATGAGAAAGCACTGGAGATTGGTTGCAAACAATGTGAATAGACTTAACACTACTGAACTGTTTACTTAGAAATAAGATGGTAAAGGACCAGCATTGTGGTGCAGTGGGTTAAGTTGCTGCCTGTGACGCCAGCATCCCATATGAGTGTCAATTGCAGTCCCTGCAGCTCCATTTCCAATCCACCTCCCTGCTAATGCCCCTGGGAAAGCAACGGAAGATGGCCCAAGGACTTGGGGCCCCTACTACCCACGGAGACCCAGATGGAGTTTGCAAACTGCTGGCTTTGACGTGGCCCAGCCCTGACCATTGTGGATTGTGGCCATCTGGGCCGTGAACCAGAAGATGAAAGACATCTGTCTGTCTCTCTCTAACCCTGCCTTCAAATAAAATAAATAAGACTTTTTTTTTAAATGGTGAATTTTATGAAATGTGTATTTTACCACAATTAAAAAAGGATTATGCCACTGAGGTCTAGGTTGAGTTTAAAGTTTTCTTAGAGTGCTCTGTGAGATGAGTAAAGAAATTTTACCTTTGGTTTTAATCTAAGCTTTGGTTTCTTTTCACAGTGCAGCCTTCATATTCATGCTTCCTACAGCATTTCCCAGAAACTAAACGTGCCCATGGCCCCACTCTCGGAGCCTAATGCCGTAGGCATAGTCATCGCTCATGGTAAGGAGCCCTTCTGCTCAACAGGAGTAGCTGGGCACACAGACTAGGCATAGCCTTTGAACTCTTTAAGAAGACCCACCATGTATGGTTTTTACATTCTTTCAGTAGAATTTTGTGTGCTAGAACAACACTGTGGATTTTTCATAGACCCCCTTCAGAGTTGGCAACATGATTTTTCCCCTTCTCAAGTTTTCAGGGTCCTCTTTTTCTACCCTGAGAGGCTTGATAGGAAGTAATCAGAATAATTTTATTCAGAGTTATCCTTTCATCAGTAACTCCTTTCAGTTTCCTTGTGCTGATGAGACGGTGCCTTATGTTGCAGGTAGCGTGGGGGATGCCATCTCAGTGATGGTCCCAGATGTGTACATCTCAGATGATGGGGGTTACTCCTGGGCGAAGATGCTGGAAGGACCCCACTACTACACCATCCTGGACTCTGGAGGCATCATTGTGGCCATTGAGCACAGCAGCCACCCTATCAATGTGATTAAGTATGCATGAGCTCAGCTCCACGCACACTCTGAATAGAGGGCAATTGTGGGAATGTTCTTCACTTGACATGGGGAGGCAGGGTGGGGGTGTCACAGACCTGATTCGCATTTTTGCATTCTCCATTACTGTAGGGGAGGTTCTCGAAGGGATTACATTTAGAGCAACTCAGATTAAAAGCATTGCTTTTTCCAGTGACTCCCTCTAGCTTACACATTTTGTCACTGTTTAAAAACATTCTTTCTCAACCCCCAAATATTACGCAAGTATCAAGCGTATCAACTCTGGGTTAGAAATGACTTCTTGAGTGTACAAGTTCTTATAAAATAACTTGAGTTTACTAATTTAAAAGCCATTCTTACCTGGGTCACTACCCTTTCCTCTTCCTTTGAAATGACTTTTATAGAAGTATTTACTCTGTACTCTGTTTGAATCCCCTTTCCCTGCCCTGTTAACTGTGGTACTAGAAATTAAAATAATTGTAAGCCCTCACTTCAAAAGGGTTTGTCTCTAGTTTGGGATCCAATAGCCAGAGCGGTTTCCTGTCATTCCCTGAACACAGTGATCATCTGCCATGGTCTTTCTCTGATTGTGCTTTTAGGTTCTCTACAGATGAAGGTCAGTGCTGGCAAACCTACACGTTCACCACGGAGCCCATCTATTTCACCGGCCTGGCTTCGGAACCCGGGGCCAGGTCCATGAACATCAGCATTTGGGGTTTCACAGAGTCTTTCCTGACCCGCCAGTGGGTCTCCTACACCATCAATTTTAAGGATATCCTTGAAAGGAACTGTAAGTGCCTCTTTCAACCTTTTCTAACATAATCTTGTAAGCCTATTTCTCTCAATAATCAATTCAGTTTCATTTCTTTTAGCTGGAATAAGCAAATGCATACACAAGAGACTGAAGGATAATCAAGCAGTGGAATGGACCGGAAAAGCAGTTTCCTTCTTGGGACTAGCACTATCCAAGAGAAATACGAGGGCCAATAAGTAATTTCAATTATTCTGTCAGCTACATTATAAAAGTGAAAAGAATGGTGAAATCTTAATATAGATAATATATTATGATTTCAACATTCAAGCAATATTAAAAATGATTAGTAAGGCCAGCGCCGCAGCTCACTAGGCTAATCCTCTGCCTGCGGCGCCAGCACCCCGGGGTCCTAGTCCCAGTTGGGGCAATGGATTCTGTTCAGTTGTTCCTTTTCCCGTCCAACTCTCTGCGGTGGCCCGGGAAGGCAGTGGAGGATGGCCCAAGTCCTTGGACCCTGCACCCACTTGGGAGCCCAGGAGGAAGCACCTGGCTCCTGGCTTCGGATTGGCGCAATGCCAGCGTAGTGGCCATTTTGGGGGTGAACCAACAGAAGGAAGACCTTTCTCTCTGTCTCTCTCTCACTGTCTATAACTCCCTCTATCTCTCTAAAAAAATGATTAGTGAGATTTTTTTCATTTTTTTTTCTTCTAAGTGTTCAAAATCTGGTATATATTTAACACAGCAAACCTTCCACCAGACCAGCCACGTGGGTCTAGTGCTACCCCTTATCACAGTAGGGCTTTTGCACTGTTAGAGCACTCTCTGTGGCTTTTGTCCTGCTTGTAGGAATAGTATCTGAGTATTTGTCTAAAATGATTTCATAACATTTCAGGGTTTTTCACCTTTGATTAGGGAAATGTAGTGGGACTGTGAGGAGGAAATTTTAGAGGAAACTATTGCGAAAGAGCATCTAATTGTGTCATCTCAGTGTGCTGAAGTGAGGACGCTCTCATGCAGTTTTGGTCAGAACCTCAGTTGCAGGTGAGGCTGCAGAGTGGCCACTGGGCCGACAGGAAGCCCCGTCAGAGCTCTGTGACTTCAAACGAGATGTGCAAAGGGCTTCAGTGTTCACTGCACGGTATTCCCAGACTCCAGTGCCAGCAGTGCTGACAATTAGAGAAATAGGAAAACCTGGAGAAAAAGTGATCTGTGTTCCACGTCGGCATAATACAGTCAAAGACTCAACGTCAGGACATCTTCACTGAAGATTGTTATGGGTCCATTTCCTCAAAGTGTTAATTCAGTGACTCCTGAGAAACACAGCTGTTGGTTTGGACCCTGTTTAATTATGATTTAATACCTGAGGGTCACTATCTCTAAATTCACTAATTAGGCTATAAAAGAACTGGCTTATGAGTCTTCCCCTCGGAGGGCAGTTCAATAGCTATCCCTAAAGTTAAAATCATTAAAAGATTTATTCTACCTGCCCTTCAAACAGGCTCTGTGCTGGTCTTCATATCCCAAAGGAGGAAAACCTAATCCACAGTCTTCAGGGCATAGCCTTTGAGTCATTTTTCCAGGCACAGAAGAGACAGTATACTAAGCCAGAAACTGTTGCCACCAGCAGTCTGCATTTGGGAGCCAGTTGGGTAGAGTTAGAAGTGTAGAAAGAGGTCGTTTTCCCTGTGTTTGAAGCAAACTCACACACGTGAAATTGAAACTGTGCTCTGTTAATTAGTCTCCTGTCCTAAACAAAGAGCCCCTGAGGCTGATGGGAAAGCATGTGGTTGCTGGCCAGGGACAGAGGTGCTCCAGGCATGCATCAGCCACCCCTCAGCCTGGAATGAGCTCTGGAGGGCCTCTTCCCAGCCTCCCTCCCAGAACAAACAAGGTCTCTGCGAATCCTCCAACTGTAGGGGAGGGGAGAGAGCCCCCTCTTGGCGTGAAGAGATGGCCACTGCTAGTTGACTCTAGACTTTTTGTCTGCACTTCCAAAATGAAGCAAGAAGCTGAGTCAGCCATTCCCTGTCTCCCTGTCCTTCTTTCTGTAGCCTGGCAGCTGCCTCCGTGGGTGGGTTCTGTGCGCATGGTTTCCTGAGCAGTCCGTCTGTCCTTTAGGTGAAGAGAAAGACTACACCGTATGGCTGGCGCACTCCACAGACCCCGGAGACCATGAAGATGGCTGCATTTTGGGATATAAAGAACAGTACCTTCGGCTACGCAAATCTTCCGTCTGTCAGAACGGTCGAGACTATGTTGTCGCCAAGCAGCCGTCCATCTGTCCCTGTTCCCTGGAGGACTTCCTCTGGTATTTGCATTCCCCAGACTTTTTTGTCAGCCCCTTTCCTATGCTGGAGGATGAAAGAGTTGTCGTAGGGCTAAAAAATATTGAAATCCACTCCCCAAGAGTGGAAAGCTGCTGCTTATCAAGAAAATTGAGGCACAGAGACAGGGAACCAAAGTTGTTAATTATTGGACAGATAATCATATTGCACAGGTAATTACTGGGCAGAACCAGCAACAAACCACAGAAATCCTGACTTGGCAACTGTGGGAAGAGACAAGCAGTATAAGAAGGAAGCCAGTAAAATAAAGCATCTCTAGAAAGCAACAGAACAAGCACCAAGGAAAGCGGTACAGGAGAGAGGACACTGGACTGTAGGGCGTAGCCTGGCAGCTTGATTTCAGCAGGCAGGACACTGGGGTCTGGACCCTAAGCAAGACTGAAGGCAGAGATGGCGGTCTGGTCTTGAGACTAGAGGTAGCATCGGTAGTCTTGGTCTCTGTGTCCCATCAAGGTTTAAGGGCTGTCAAGATGGGCGCCCTGGAGTTCAGGATCATCAGCCTTAAGGATTAGTTACTTGGTTGGCAGAGAGTTAGTCAATTATATAAAGGCAAAGGAACTCCTGTGTGGCTTAAATGAGGTAATGTTAGGGCAAGTAAGAGGAACTGCTTCACATCACATGTAATAATCCTTTGGAACTTGTTACCTGCAGAAGACACGGACAGGATCCTAAAGGAGTTGGACAAAGAAGGCAGGCCCTCCCTCAGTTTTTATAAAGATATATTTATCTATTTGAAAGGCAGAATTACACAGAGAGAGAGGTCTTCCATCCACTGGTTCACTCCCCAGGCTAAAACCATCAGGGTTAAGCCAGGCTGAAGCCAGGAGCTCATCTGGGTGTTCCACATGGTTGCAGGGACTCAGCACTTGGGCCATCTTCTGCTGCTTTTCCCAGGCCATTAGCAGATGGGAAGTAGAGCAGCCGGGACATGAACCAGTGCCCATATGAATGCTGGCATTGCAGGCTGTGGCTTTACCCACTACAGTCCCATCCTGTCTCACTGTATTCTCTCCAGACGCAGGTGGCAGCAGAATACGTGTGTGGGTGAAACAGGTCTGATCTGATGTGCCTCCTGCATGGCTCACATCTGTGTGGAATCATCAAGGGTCCTCCCTTCTCTAGGGAAAAGCACCACACAGATCATGGCTGGCGTTCTGGCCAGGCTAGCGGTCGTCGATGAATCGGTGACGCTCCCAAGGCTGTGCACTACCTCAGCTTTGCTCTTCTCCAAACACATGGCGCTCCTTCAGAGCTCCACACCCGCATGGGATGGCTCCTCTGCCTGGAGAGTCTCCCACATCCCTCCCGCACTCCCCCGTGCCTGGGGGACTCCTCCGCAGCCTTTGCTTTCCTGCCTAGCTCTGACATCACCACGGTAAACCTCTAGTCTTGCCTCATCTAGACTCCCACAGCAGCCCTACTGCGCCAGTTTACTTACTGCACTCCATGATTGTTTCTAAGTTTCGTTCCACCATGAAGTCCCAAGCCCCTTGAGAGCATAGTAGACTCACAGTCAATAAGAATATAGCGGCAGTGGAGCAGCTAACATTCATTGAGCCCCGACTCTCAGGACTTGGCACCACCCTTAGCAGTTCATACTTAACCCAATCACAAAGAGGTTATGACGAACTTGCCCACAAGAAGTGGTAGGGGTAGGGTGTGCAGCTGGCATTTCAGCTCCAGGCCTGTGACCTGCCACGGGTAGCTCTTCAGGAGTGAGAAGGGCACTTTATCTGAAAGTTGGGGTTGACATCTAAAATGCTTTCCTGAACTCCCCCGTGCCATTGGAGGGGTAGTGTCTTCTGCATCTTTTGTTCTCCCTACCCTCTCTAAGTGCTCTTCAGAAAACCTTGGAGTACATGCAACCTCTGTGCATTCCCCAAATACTCACTGAGTACCAGCTGCGCACAGAAATGCAAAGTGGTAGTGGGAAGTTTGTTAGACTCTCCTGGTGAGATGTTCATAATTATGTTACAAAACAGAAGGTGGTAGATGCCATGGGATTGAAAGGAGGCAGAGGAAATTCTGTCTAGAGAAGAAAGGAGATGGGTCAACGAAGCTTTCATTGAGGAGGTGACATTTGGTAGGATTTGACCTCGCACACCTAGGAACAAAGCAGGTCACTGAAGCCAGCAGCTTGCCGTGAGCAGACACTCGATGGCATGGACAAGGGAGGACAGGTGTCCTGGAAGACAGGTGTGGGGGGGGGGTTGTCACAGTTACTTTGATAGGAGGGGACCAGTGTTATCACACAGCAGGATAATCTGGTGCCTGCAGCACCAGCATACCATATTGGCGTGCCAGTTTGCGTTCTGGTTGCTCCATTTCGAATCCAGCTCCCTGCAAATGAGCCTGAGAAGGCAGAAGATGGCCCAGGTACTTGGCCCCTGCCACACCCACACATGTGGGAGTCCAGGATGGTGTTCCTGGCTTCTGGCCTTAGCCTGGCCTGGACCTGACTGTTGGAGGCATCTGGGGAATGAACCAGCAGATGGAAGATACCTATTTCTGTGTCTCCTTCTCTCTCACTCCACCTTTCAAATAAATAAATCTTAGAGAAAAAAAAAAAAAAGAGTAAGGAGGGCCCAGATGGAGGGTGCTCAGGCTGAATTTCCACTCAGATGGTGAGAAAGAAGGTGCTGTCCTAAATACACAAGGAAGGGCTGGCACAGAGGATAAAACCTGATGTGTTTTGAACATTTCATTCCTTTGCAGTTCTGTTAGCATATGTCAGTGTTGATAACCAGCAGATAATTAGAAATGTAAGATTCAAGTTCAGGAGAGAAGTAAAAGCTGACTGTTATGGTTGTAACCAGAAGTAGCTGTGGTCACTAAGGGAGAGAACATAGAGAACACATCAGAGAATGGATTCTAGAATGCTGAAAGACATTTGTATTTATGGGTCAGGGAAAAGAAGAGCAGGCAGCAGCCACAGACACAGGTGAGTGCGGCTTTACCAATGACAAGGTGGGCACGGGCTCAATAGTGGTCAGATGCCGCAGGACAGGTGGTCGAGGTGGAGGAGACCAGGGAGGGCTCTGCTGAGTTTGATGGCTGTGAGCTCTGGGGGCTTCAGACATCAAGGTTAAGGGGTAGGGGGATGGTGTTGAGGCCTAAATGCATGGAATAAAAAATAAATGAGCAAAATAGAACAAGCAAAAAATATTCTTTTAAGAAATTTGGCTAGTGGGCAGGGAGGGGCATACAGAAGTAATTTCTAGAGTAGAAACACATGTAGAAATCATTCCCACTCTCCACTGAGTGGGAGAGATTGCTCCTGCCCTGTCAGACTTTTCGGGGAGTACAGGCCCAGGACGGGTAGAAGAGCGGGACCAAGTATGCTCATGTGGAAAGTCAGCCAGGCGTAATTTCTGTGTGGAAAACAGGGAAAGGAAAGCAGCTGTGTGGTATTATGGACAGATGGGTAGAATGAAGGGCAGAAGAGGATGTTTACATTGGAGGCAAAGATCAGCTAAGAAGCTAGAAGGGACAGAGGGGAAAAGATGGAGAGTGAGAGACGCCAAGTGCAATGTAACAATGGTATTAGGAGGCAAAGGAATTGATGTGGGGCTGAGTGCCTAAATTTTCACTCCAGGTTCTTGCCCCTCACCGAGATAAGAATTCTAAGTGGAGGCATAGTAACATAACAAGTAAGAAAAGGATTTATTTAAGGTGAGAGAGAAAACACACATTCATCTGTGAGTGTGAGCTGCTCTACATGGAGAAACACGTCATGAGTGGGCCAGAGGGGTGCCATGGAAGAGAGAAAAGAGAACGGTACCTCCAACCAGTCCTTGGTGGAAAGGGACCTCTCCCCCATTCTCAGCCTCTTTTATGAGGTAGGGGGTAGTAATTGGATAAACAGATGGAGTGGAGTCTTAGCATGTGTCCTGTTCCTGGATGAGACAGGTGCATCCTGGGAAGGTGGGCATATCAAGCTGACAGAGATAAGGTTATGTTGCAGGGTTGCAAGAATTCCAGCTCGCCCAGACTTGACTAGCTGCCTAGTTAACACTACATCAAAAGGAATGCACAGCTGGTTAAGCTGCTACTTGCAACACAGGCATCCCTTATAGAGTGTTGATTTTCATCCCAGCTGCTCCACTTCAGATCAAGCTCCCTGCTAATGCTCCTGGGAGTGGACGTGGAAAATGGCCCAAGTGTTTGGGTCCCTGCCACATACATGGGAGACCTGGATGGAGTTCCTGACTCCGGCTGGGGGCCTTTGTGGCCATCTGGGGAGTTAACCAGTAGATAGATGGAAGCTGTCTCTGTCACTCTGCCTTTCAAATAAATAAACAGATCTTTTAAAAAATGAGTTGGCAAGTGTCCCTAGTTTAGATCTGTTGCTTATGTCACTGTTTCTCTGGCCTCTACTTTTTCTTCGTTGTGAGACCCTACTCCACTGCAGGCTACTGCCCATCCCCTCCCAATGCCTGCTCCGCAGTTCCCAGCCTTGGAGCTCCGACTGGTGCTGAGTCTACCAGGCCTGATCCGTAAGCTCTCTTCTCCTCACAGTAAAGCTCTGTCCCTTCCTGCTTACCTAAGGGGACCTGCTGCAGAGAGATCACAGGTCTTCCTGAGCTGGAATCTTAACCATCCATTGCCCCAGTCTCGTCTCCCAGCAACTTTGAAAGATACCTTTATTTGCTGACTCTTGCAGTGATTTTGGATACTTCCGTCCGGAAAATGACTCCAAGTGTGTGGAACAGCCAGAACTGAAGGGCCATGACCTAGAGTTTTGTCTGTATGGAAGAGAAGAGCACCTGACAACAAACGGGTAAGATGGCTTTGTCTCCCTCATTGCAACAAACTGTCCTCATACAGAGTGAAAGCTGATTCTCTCCACACACACACACACACACACACACAGGGGCCAGCCGTGTTTTAGATGTTGGAAAGTGCTGTTTGTCTCATAGAACTTTCTGTAACGATGGAAATGTTCTGTCACCTACTGTGTCCAAGTGGTAGCTACTAGCCACATGGACCATTGACACTTGTGCAACTGCGGAACTGAGGCTTTCTGCTAATCCATTTTAACAACCACCACTGGGACAGGGCGGTGTCAGAGGAGCCTCATTTCCTCCATGCTCTGGTAAATTCTCCTCCTCTCCCATTTTTGTAACTCTGATTAGTGAGCATTCCTTGGGATACAGTTCTTGTCACAGTCTCTCAAGGTGGGAGGGGCAGGTGTGTCATTGACAGCAAGAGATAGAGATGCCTGAGTCTGCCCAAGGCCTGGAGTCACAGAAACTATCCCCCAGAACATCCCTGCGCCTCCCCCCACCAGGCCTAGGAGATGGCGTAGGAAGAGAAGCTTTTCTGCAGCTTCTCGAATCTTGCATGTAGGAAATAGGCGAGAGCCCAGGAATACATCCTTGCCTTCTGTTAACACATCCTCTCTGCCTTTTAGGTACCGGAAAATTCCAGGAGACAGATGCCAAGGGGGGGTGAATCCAGCTCGAGAAGTAAAAGACTTGAAAAAGAAATGCACAAGCAACTTCCTGAGTCCAGAAAAGCAGGTATGTTATAAGAGACCTACTTTCTTAGGTTCAAGTGAAATTTTGTGTTCTGCCTAGAAGAACCAGTTATAGCCCCAAGAATTTGGTCACTGACACGAAGTGGCCAGACTACTTCTGGGCTTCCCTTTGTGTGGGAAACTGTTAGGATGCAGGCTAGGTCACATAACCCGATAATAAGTTCATCCTACTGAAAAGCCTTTTCTGCCAGGGGAAATCGTGGTATTCTATAAAGTTGTAAAAGTCTTAGAAGCATAGGGTGGAAGTGACTGAGGCTGAGACATTAGAGAAGGGCTCAAGAAGGTGAGCTGCAAAGAGCTGTGGCCTGGAGTATTGCACGTGCAGAAGAGAAGAGCCCCGGGCGACAGGCAGTGAGTTCCTGTGCTGAGTCACTCTGTATTCACAGTGAAAGACAACTATGCTAATAATGGGCTGGTGGAGATCTGCGGCACTCAGCTGTCTGGCTGGGATCTGGAGAACCAGTAAAGAGGAAACCTCTTGACAAAGCAGCGCCAGACCAGCAGTCTGACCGGGGTGATGTCTGTGGGCCCTGCTTCCTACTCTGTGACACAAGAGGTGGAGCTGGACAGTGACCGCTGAGGGACTGACAAAGGGTGGGATTGAAAAGGCAAGGGGAGAAGTGTATGGGTGTGTGTATTTGTAAGGGGCCAGTTCCTCCTGCTCTGCACCCTGCCCTGGACTCCTGGTGGCTGTTCTCAGAGTGTTTGTGTGTGTGATTGCACAGGACTCTCGCCCACAGGGACACAGCTTGTCCCAGAATCCAGCTCCGCCTCCTCTTGGATACACTGAAAACACACACTTCCTATCTCCCACCCAGAAGCAGGTAGGTCACACACAAACAATGATACAATAAGGACTATTTGTAAAAGAATACTAAAAATTGAGCAAAAAATAAATAAATCTTAGAGTCCACAATAGCCTGCCTGCTATAGCACTGACATAACTTCTTCCCAGATGATGGGCATGTTCTAGCTTCATTCAGCCCACTATTATCATAGTCTCCCTTTCCTTCTCCATCCTGAAGCTCCAAGACTTGCAGACAGAGGTAGTGTGGAACACTCACAACTGCCATATTTGATCCAGCAGTTGCCAAGCTTCTAGTGCAACTGACATTGAAGTCACTGAGTTTGCAGCTTCAAGGCAGGTGGATCTCACGTTACCCTCTGCCGGCTGTGATGTTCTCCTGGTTACATTGAGATGGTTCGTTTTGGGGTCTGTAGATCACTCACAGATAAGTGAGGGGAACGAGCAACCACTTCGAATGGAGTCCTAGAATATGCATGCCTACAAGCTTTTGTCTTTGTGTTTTGATTATCAAGAATTCCAAGTCAAATTCTGTTCCAATTATCCTGGCCATTGTGGGATTGATGCTGGTCACAGTCGTGGCAGGAGTGCTCATTGTGAAGAAATATGTCTGTGGAGGAAGGTAAGGAATGTGAAAGTCAGAGGTACTGAGTTCAAACCAGAAAGTCAGCTCTCAGCAATGCTAACTCCGTGTCTGATGTGATCATCCAGAAAAATCAAGCCCAGATCGTCATATCTTATATTTTCCTTATGTCAACTATGATGTGTCCTTCCTATGTTATTCATTTCCTGAGTGTATAAAACTGGAACAATCCAGGAAGTGCATATTTAGTCCAGTAATTAAGGTACCCATGTCCCACACAGGAATGCTTGGGTTTGATTCCCAGCTCCAGCTCCTGACTCGAGCTTCCCACCAGTGCAGACCCTAGGAGGCAATGGTGATAGCTTGAGTAATTGGATTCTTACCTCTCACACAGGAGACCAGAATCATGTTCCCAGTTGGGGTGCTGAGGGGGTGGAGTGGGCTGTTTCCCTCTGCTTTTAAAATGCAAAAACAAAAACCTGGGAAAACTCGCAGTCCTGTGAGAAATGTGCCCCTCCTAAGCTTATGAGCATTAACAGGAGTTTCCGTTCATAGGTTCCTGGTACATCGATACTCTGTGCTACAGCAGCATGCAGAAGCCAATGGTGTGGATGGGGTGGATGCCTTGGACACAGCCTCACATGCTAATAAAAGTGGTTATCATGATGACTCAGATGAGGTGAGATTGACCTCTCCTTGCGGGGTAATCCCCCAAAAAATGATCTTCTCCTACTCATGGTCAAGATGCAGCTGGGGCAAAGGAGGGTATTTTTTTAAATTTGTTTGTTTATGTGAGAAGCAGAATTGCAGACAGAGAGAGGGAGAGACAGAAAGAGGTCTTCCATCCAGTGGTTCACTCCTCAAATAGCCGCAGCAGCTGGAGTTGGGCCTGTCCAAAGCCAGGAGCCAGGAGCTTCTTCTGGATCTCCCATGTGGGTGCAGGCACTCCAGCATTTGGGCCATCTTCTGCTTTCCCAGGCCATCAGCAGGGAGCTTGATCACAAGTGGAGCAGCCAGGACTCAAACCAGTGCCCACATGGGATGCCAGTGCCGCAGGTGGAGGCTTAACCCACGAGGCCATGGTGCCAGCCCATGGAGCAGGATATTGAGCTCAAAGCAGCTTTTCTTTTAAGTTAATTTATTTATTTGAGAGATAGAATTACAGAGAGAGGGAGAGACGGAGAGGTCTTCCATCTGCTGGTTCACTCCCCAGATGGCCACAACAGCCAGTGCTTGGGCCAATCTGAAGCCAGGAGCCAGGAGCCAGGAGCCTCTTCCAGGTCTCTCACACAGATACAGGAGCCCAAGCACTTGGGCCATCTTCTACTGCTTTCCCAGGCCATAGCAGAGAGCTGGATTGGAAGAGGAGGAGCCCATATGGGATGCCAGCACTGCGGGTGGTGGCTTTATCCACTACATCACAGCGTTGGCTCCTCAAAGCAGCAATTTGATGACAAGATTCAGCAAGGCCAGAAACTAGATGGTGGGTTTCAAAATAGGACTTCTTTTAGCTTGTCCGTGATCTGGACTGTGTGTTTCTTTTTCAGGACCTCCTGGAATAGCTTCTCCAGGGAGCTGGGCCGAAAGTGGATGGTGGAACCACAGTACCTCCTGCACCCCTGTGGCTCCAACTTGGAGGAATAAATTTCCCATTGCAAGGGACCCAGCTCTGTTTCTGCTGCTTCCATGAAAGCCAAAAGGACCGACACTAAACAAATGCAGGGTGGGGGTGGGGAACCCTAAACACTCTAAGAGTGAATTGGCTCTGAAAAGGGGAAAACATTTAAATTCTTTGACTTTTCACTTCAAGTTCTGTCATTTGTAAAGTATGGGTTTTGGGTTTTGTTCTCTTGTGGGGTTTTTTGTTTATTTGTTTGCCTGTTTGTTTTTAAGGGAAATGAAATGGAATTTGAAGGGACCGATTAACCCCACTCTTGTGTATTCTGCGTGGCACCTACCCCAGGGCATCTGCCAATTCTGCCATCAACTCTTAAAATGTATGTGGTGCTGACCCAGGTGCTGCTGGTGACACGAAGCAGCTACAGTGATGAAAACAAGGGCTGCGGTGCCTAGCACTGGGGAGAGCCCCACTCCAAGAACACTGCACACCAGCTCTTCACACAGATCCATGCTGCTGCTTTCTCTTCCCCCAGGGACCACAGGCCACAGTGATTTTTTCTTTTCCCCTGTTTAATTAGGCAATACCCTTGTTAACTGCCCTTTGGCAACTAACTTAACCATGTGCTTCCAAGACACTAAATCAGGAAAACTTACAGGGCAATATTTTTAACTTGGGGCAGGAAGAGGGGAGCAGCAGAGAACTGACGAGATTTAGCACCTATTAAAAGAGAATTCTTGTGTCCTCTGAGATCTTTCAGGCTGTGCTTTGTGTGTGTGCCAGTGGACTTGCTCAAGGACAGGGTACAGGCTTGCCTGGAGGTCTACCCAGGCTGGACGTTCTCAGCAGAGTTGATTGTTGAGTGCACAGTGCAGCCCCAAAGATTGAATTGCAGTCTTCCATTTCTCTTCTTGCCTGTTGTGTTGGCTCATTGTTGAATCATTGCAGTGGCTGCTTCTCTGCTTCCTTTTGGATTGCTGTTGAACGTGGAGCCAGGACTTTAGATATTTTCAGATTTACAGACTTTTTCTAAAAAAAAATAAATAAAAATTTTATTACCAGGCTCTCCTTCTCGCCCCTTTTCCCTCAGCTTTGCCAAGTTATTTGTTGGCACAAGACTTTTGGCTGAAAACACACTTCCAGGCTAGAAGATGCTTTGTGTGATACATTAGATTTGTATTTTCAATTTAAGGAAATTTTCCATTTGACATTTCTTCAAATTAAATGTTATAGAAGGCAGTTGGGTAGATCTGGGGGTGGCCATATAGTAGAAAGCTGAAATATCTGTTGTGATACAGCTTGAATATTTGCTATACAGGAATATAGCATGGTAAGTTTTCAGTCTTAATGTACCTACTGTGCTGGTCACAGTTTCTCCCAATAATGAGGATTGGGACATTCTTTGGTAGATATTACTTTGCTGCTAGTTAATTTTGTGGCTAGAAAGTCAGTAAAAAGTAAATGTGCCAAATTAACTTATGTCAGAATGCGTGAGCAGATGGTTGAGTTCTTTCCTCCCCAGAATGGATGAACAGCATCAGGGATGTGGGGGAGGGAGCAGAATGAGAATTTGAAAGACAGAAATGCAGTAAAATGCAATGAGTCAGGGAGCTCCAGTTAGAAAGTACAATTAGGGCAGCTTTTGTGAAGAGAAAGAGTATTTGTTAGGGCTAGAGCACACTAGATTTTTAGCTCATTCACTTTGCAAACTTTTAAAATTAGTTCCAAAGATGTGCCAGCTCACAAATCATCACAATGTGGTCAGCCTTTGTCCCACACTCACTTCTTGCCCGAACTGAATTTGATGCCCAGAAAAGACCTGTTAATGCACACCTTTTCCCCCAGCACACACCCACTGTGAGTAGAAGTGCTGGCGTGGTCATCCGCTTGGTAGTGCTAAGATCTAGGAAAGAATGTTCTTCTTTGCTTATGATGGTATCTGGCACTTCCGTGGAACTTGGCAATTTTCAGAGCACTTTCACTTGAATTACGTCATTTGAACCCCACAGCGTTCTTGTGAAGGAGCCAAAATTGAGAAAACCATGCAAGGCCCCTGTTGTCAAGAGCGGTGCCAGACTCTTGACATCTGTACACTAGCTGGGCACTCAGAGCCAGAGCTGCTCTCTGAGAGATGGTGTGCCACTCTGTAGGGCAGGGGTTGGTGGCACATCAGTCAGAGCGCCAGTTAGCACCTTTTTGCCGCCTGGGTAAGTAGAATGTTTTATTCTCTTTTTCATGGCTGAAAGGGTGTAGGAACCACCCTCTGCTCCTCGTGGAGGGTTGCTGTGAAGAGTGCAGGTGTGTGGTCCCTTCCCCAGCCCTGTTTCCACACGGGCTGGTTGGCTTTGCTGGTACAACCCCCAGCAAGCTGAGCTCAGTCCCTGTATGGCCAGTGGACTTCCTGTAGAACCCTGAATCACTCACAAATGTAGGCCTTCAGCCAGAGTAAAGCAGCCTATGTTTGAGACAACTTCTGAAAAAAGCTTCCTAATTTGTTCTGCTCAGAGCAGGAGAGTTAGTTATCCTTGAAGATACAACATAGCCTATCATTGTGTAAACTCCCAGGCTTGCTGGTAGCAAAGAGATTACTTCTGCAGATTTTGACAGTGGAATTTGGCATGTAAGATAGAGGTTGGATATATCAGACTGTCCAAAGTGGTCTGGGCTGTTAAGTCCAGTGGAGAACACTCACCCTTCCTGCTCTGGACTGAAGGCAGCTTTGAGTTTTTTAGTGAGACCAGAGACTAGGGATGGATACAGCTTTGCTGTTGATTGAATGGAAACACTGTTTAGAAGAGTAAAGACCTTTGGAGCGCTATGGCAGTTCCGGGATGAGATCAGGAGATTCAATAGATTAGCTGGAACTGAAACTTGGAGTCTCCCACTTGCCTCTGAAGAGGCCTTTCCAGTGTGTATCTCTCTCTCTCTTAGATTTGCCTCTGGTGCCCTACATGCCCATACTAGCCTTTCATCCCAACAGATTAGCAGTGTGCTGGCCACCTCCACCTCCTCCAATGAGCCTGTGAACCGTAGCTGTTTTCCCACAGCCTTTGTCACCATACCAGGATGCAGGGAGGAGCACAGAGCCATCCACATCTGCCCCAGGGTGACAGAGCTGGCCTGGCTTCAGTCATTTATCTACTATCCAGGCACAGAGAGTCTCTCCTTTTAGGAGAGCTCTGAAGAGTCCTACCCCTACACAAATGGCCTAGTTCCTCTTCCAGTTGTCAGCAGGGCCCGATTACTCTCATTTTAAGCCAGGATATTTGGAATTGCTAGAATAGGATGGGAGCCAGCTTTTCAACTTTGCTACCACCTTCCCTTATTCAGGAAAGTGAATATGGACTTAAATGTCCTTTGAACAAAACCAAAGCTTAAGATTTGCCATGTGGTGGAGTGACAGGGAGGGCTAGCATCAGCAGGTGCCAGACTTTCTGTTCTACCTGCCAGCAATGTGCCCAGCTCAGGCCGCTCTGGGAACACCAACCTGCCCTAGCAGAGCCCAGCCTTGTCCTCCTGAAGGAGAACTGAATTAGCAGGATCGTGTTGATTTCTTGGTTACGTTGCATTACAACTTGATTATAAACTTTAATTTGAAGTTGTCTTCAACAACTTGCTGTGTGCAGTTTTTTCATGTTAGTACATTTTTAAGAGTCCTTGTTTATATAGGATAACAAACTAATCTGTACCTTTATATATATGTACATATATACATGTATAAACTGTATAGTGTACATGTTAATGACTTGTTGATATGCCCCAGTCCCCATCCTCCGCATGCCCTCAGTGGTGGTCGGTTGACTTGATGTTCCCTGATGATCCTGCCCACCTCTCCTCTGGTTGGACCTCTGGGGAGGAGGTGGTACTTCCCTTTTCCTCGTGCACAGAAATGCTCAGGGTCCCCATGTGCCTGTGTTCCGCCCTCACTCATCTCTTATCCCTTTTCTGAGCATGTGGTTCCCCCACCGCCTCTGCAAGCTGTGGACAGCTGCCTTCCTAGGAGAGTGTGAAGCAGTATTAAGATCACTACTGCATGTGCACTAAAAACTCAAGTTTTCTGTACCCATGGGACAGAAAACTGCATGTGAGGTGGAATAATCAAGTTTCAATGATCCATGTCAGTTACACAGCAAAGCCAGACCCCATACTAAAATTCCACAAAATGGAAATAAAACTCAAATTTCTTTAGCATTGTATAAATAAATCTGGATATGTTTAACTTTGTACTGGCGATTTTCTGTATATTTGCAATATTTGGGTTAGAAATAAAACGGATCAGACTTTGTTACCTGACCTAGTGAGATGACTACACTACAGTTTGTTAATATGATAGCTGTTTCCAGTTTTCTAACTTCAGAAATCAAAGTATACAGAATAAGCTAAAGGACCAGGACTGTGTGTTTATAGTAAAAAAGGTATTAGATAAATTATGGGGAAAACAATTCCCAAAAAAAGGTGAATTGTTTTGCCCAGAAATTATCTGATTTTTTTTTATTCTTCATTTTCTTGTTCTTTAAGCTCATAAAGATTTACCTCCAGGGTTCGTTGTTGTGGTATGATGATTAAGCCACTGCTTAAAAGGCCCACATCCATACTGGAGCGCCACTTCAAGTCCCAGCTGCTCTGCTTCCCATCCAGCTTCCCGATAAGGCATCCTGGGAGGAGGGGGATGATGGTTTGAGTGCTCCTGCCACCCATATGGGAGACCCAGATGGAGTTCCAGGATCCTGGCTTTGGCCTGGCCTAGGCTAGCTGTTGTGAGCGTTTGGGGAGGGAACCAGCAGATGGAAGATAGCTCTCTGTCTTCTGTCTGTCTCTCTGTTACTCTGCCTTTCAAGTAAGTAATTACTTGAAAAAATTTTTAAAGGTCTACTTCCCATAGATGTTTGTGAGACCAGATTTCTTCTTGTTACTCTGGGAAAGTCTAGCAGACCACCCCACCCCACACACCTTTTCAGGTTTTAGTTGCTGCGCTCTTCCTTCTGAACACAGCAACTCTCCTGAGCTCAACGTTCCCAGGGCCGAGTTTGAGAAAGGCCAACACTGTGGAGTTCAGCCTTGGGCCCGGTCCTCTCCACTTCTCTTGCTGCTCCTACTCATAGGCTTTCCTCATCCATTTCATTCAGGGACCTTCCAAGAGTTACAGCTTTTCTGTTTTCCAAAATAGTTTTTTTAAGAGAAGTTCCTGCCCACCTGCCTTGAGTCTTTGGCCATCCCACCCCGCCATCCTAGGGTACTATTTTCATTTCATTCCTTGGCATCTGACCTGAAGAAGCCCTTGTAACTGAAGAGGCCATCCTCTGCGGCAGAGCTCCCATCCCAGGAAATCAGCTCAGGCATTTGCTTCATTTTAAGGAATTCTACCTAACAGTGTCCTCTGAGTTCCTGCACCAGAGCCACTAGGTTGCCTTTTAAAAGGTAAATTTCTAAATCTTACCCTAGACCTGCTGAATTAGGTATTCTGAGGGGCAGACCCTGGGAATGTCATTTTAAATTTACTTCTTTTAATCTTCCTTGCAACAAAAGGCTAAGACTAAACACCTGGGCCAATTTTCTCAGCAAAACCTGTAAAAATAGAGTATGTGAGTATAAAACAGGGTACCCTGGTTTGGGGACTATACATTTAGGGACTTTGGGTGGGTCAAACATGATAAATAAGCCAGAGAGACCTTCAAACTAGCTCTGACATGGCACAAGGCCAGCCTGCTACCGACCAAACCACTACCAAAGTTAACTCTAGTCACCATCTTATGGCCATGCTGGCCCCTGGACAGTCAGGTCTCTGAGCTCAAATACATTTGCAAACTGTCCAAGACCTCAGCACCTACACAAATTCCAAAGAGGCCGGGCTTCTATTAGCCAAAGAGATTAACAAGGACTACTATATTGGGAGCTAAAATGAATAAGGAACCTATTCATCAACTTTACTGATTTATTTTTTTCATTAAAAAAAAATTCCGGGGGTAGGAGAGGATATATATGGGGACTCTGTACCTGTCACTCAACTTTGCTGTGACCCCCACGACTGCTGTAAAAATGAAGTACATTTTTTTTTTTAATAATCAGAGGGGATGCTGGCTTCTGGTGATAAAGTGGGAGTATGATAAGAGACCAGAAGATCTGGATGGCTGAAGTTACAGCATGCACTGAGTGATGGTTTGGTAAGCCAGAAAATTGTGCAGGGACTCTAGGATGTAATTAGTCACTCCAGTCAGGCTGGCTACTTCCCTGTGTTTTTATCATTGTGTCCTCAGCTTGGTCATGGAATCACATCCCTTGTTTCATAGACCAGGGACCCATGGTTCGGGGTAGGGGTCTGCCTGGAGTCGCCAGCCAGTGAGTGAGTGGCATGGCCAGGGTCATATTCCAGCCTTGAGCTCTCCCTCCACCCACTCTGCCTCTCACTATTTGTGCTTTATCTCCTAGGAAGAGAGCCATTGACAGCTTCCCGAAGGGGAAATGCTGGCCTGACCTAAAAATAGCTTCCATTTATTGAGCACTTAGTCCGCCACATTCTGCTAAGCACTTTACAGAGATTACCGCTTTTAATCCTCATGACAACCCTATGGTTATTACTATCTCCATTTTACAGATGAGGAAGCAGATCTAAGACCGTGGTGTTGTGAGTGACACAGCTAGCTGGGGAGAGGGCCTAACTGCAGAGTGCAGAATGTGCCTATGCCAACCTGCCCTGCCCTGGGCCAGGGACCCCAGCATGGGCCAGTGCGCAGACTTCACAACCCACTGAGGGCAGAGTGGAAGAAGAACAGTGAAAGATGTGCCTGTGAATCAGCTGATCCCAGGCGTTGCTTGGGACTGGAGCACCCTGTTGCATGAGCTGGATGTCAGGAGCTGAGATGTCACCCAATCCTCGCCAACACAAGCCAGAGAGCCTTTTTGGATAGTCTGTGCTCAAGCACTCCCCTCCCTCCCTCGTGCTGCGAGAGGTGTCATCTCTCTCCCAAGATAACAGGGCCACCTCAGCCCTCCTCCTGTGGCTATTCTGAGCTGCTCTCTGATCCCCCCACCTCATCCTGAGCCCCTACTTCAGTCCCCCTGCTGGGAGGAGCTTGGTGAAGAAAGGCCAGCCCAGTTATGTAATCCGTGGCTGGGACCCCAGGGAGGCCAGCCTGGGCAGCAGGTGCTCAGCCCCTTGCTCAGCAGCAACAGTGAAAATCTGCAGCTGGAGACGCGCCTTGGGGTAGGCCCAGTATGGAGGGACCCACAGCTCCGGAGGTGGCCTCAGAATCCAAGCTGAAGGGGGAAGACGTCAACCCAGCAGATGCTGACGGCACCCAGGCTTCACCTGGACGGGAAGTTGGCAGCCCCACGGCCCAGCTCCTGCCCCCGATAGAAGGTGAAGGTGAGGGTGGGGAGGCCGGGGTGGAGGGAGAGGACGGCCGTGCCACTCTGACCGCACCTCACTAGGTTTTCTCAGGGCTCGCTGACTTTGTGGGATTAGTTCTGAGGGTTGGGGGAATCACTCCTCAGTGCCCCGCCCTGCTGCTCCTCGGTGGAGTCTTGCTAGCACTCAAGTGTCTCTGCTGGGTTTTTGTTTTTAGCTGAGAAGTCAGGAAATGGTGTTTGTGTTATTTTACAGTGGCTAAAAACAATCTATTTTAACCTTTAAAAAATGCATGTCACAAAGGCTGAGAGGACCTGCTAAACTAATGGCCACAGGAAAGGACCAAGCGACGAGATAGTGACCGATGGCAGTCAGAGAAGGGGTCATCAGTGAGCTGTGGTGACAGAGTGGCCTGATGACACTCAGCCTCTCCCTCAGCAGTACCACAGCACCAGAATTTGCCTCCGCACCCCGTGGGCTCCCCTAGGAAACCCCAGCATCCCAGAATCAGAGCCCCCAAGGAACTGGAGCCTTCTGGTAGAAGCATTTGAGTCCCCTCTGTGGAGGTCTCTCAGCAAAGAGGCATCCTCGAGCCAGGAGGCAGCTGGTGCCCCCACCCACCCCAGGCTGCCCTGCCACCCATCCCCCAGCTTCCCCTGGCTGAGGCCTCAGTAGTCAACAGCTCACCGGGGTGGCCCTGGGAGCCAAGCCCAGGTGTGTCCCCTTCTACATCTGGCTCAGCAGATGAGAGAGGGCAGAAGCCGAGCTCTTCCCTCCTGCATGAGAACAAGCAGAAGCTCCCACGGGCTGTAGTAATCCTTCAAGACAGGTATCTGCACAAAGCCCCAGCTTTCAGAGCCTTGAAATCTTGAGAATGGAGGGTGCAAAGACCACAAAGGAGAAGCCTGTGAACTCCCAGGGGAGGGAGAGGAAGGAAGAGAGAAGACACACTGGAGTTGGAGGCAAAAACCTTGTCTCAGTCCCCAGTGCTGCCCCTGGCAGGTCTGTGACCTTGGATAAGGCAATTCACTGCTCAGCTTCAACACGCTCCTTGTAAAATGGTGGTTAATTCCATCCACCTAGTAGGGTAGTTAAAATGTTCACTGAGATAATCCACAGTTCTTTGGAGAGGCCATACCAAGATGTGAATAAAGAAAATATTTCCAAGTCAGGGGCGAGGGCCAGGAGTTCTACCTCCAGATGGGGCTGTGCAGGGAAGCTCACTGCCTGTTGTCAACCTAATGGAAGGAGCTGGGTATTTAGAAGCTGTCTGTCAAGAGCAGAGCAGACCAATTTCTCATTGAAGAAGAGGCAGGGGGAGAAGAAATTACTGTGAACACATGAACCTGGTGTAATTAAGGTAGTTTTGTACCCAAGTAGTGACAGGCAGAGGGAGAATGAGAGCCAGGATGACTCTGCCATTCGCTGTGGTGGTCCCCAAAGCCCTGGGTGGGAAACGCTCATCTCACCCATGCTTCTCCCCTCTGCTCTGCTGTGGGAAGTCAGCTCCTGACAGCCACCGGCCTTGGCCCACAAACACAACCTGGAGATCCTCACCTTCCTCTGAGCTGCTCCGTACACTGCAGGCTTCAGGGCCACCAGAACCCAGTACCTCAACCCAGTGGTGTCCCACAGGACGTGAGCAGTAAGGACACTGCTTGACATTCTGCTGAGTGTGTGCACATCTGTCAGCCGCTTGGGAAAGGAAGACATGCATTAAAATCCTAGCTCTGTCCTTTAAGACAGTCAATCCTCTTTCTTGGGCCTCCATTTTCTCAACTATAAACTATAGAGTTAAACTTAATCTGTGTCTTAACTCTTTGTTGTAGATGCTTGCTCTAGGGAAAATATGCCAAAAAATGTTCTCAGAGTTCACAGAGCTGATAAAGCGCACCCAACCAGAAACCCCTCAGGGTGCCGTGGACCTGGACCAGTTCCCTGAAAGCTCCCAAGACTTCATTCCTCTCAACTCCTCCTCTTCCTTAGAGGGAGCTCAGGTACTAAGGGAGGTACTGCAGTGAGCATGTGAGAGCATGGGACACAGGGCAGGCACCAGAAACAAAAATGAATTTTCAAGATCAAAATAAACTCTAACTGGCCAACCATGAGCTTGTAATCAAGCAAGCCCACTACGTGGCTGGCACTGGTAAACACGGGCTCTGTCCTTAGTCCTGTGCTGAGGTACTGTGTCCTGGAGACAGAGCTTCCAAAACAGTGAGAGACTTGAGAACAGCCTGGGCCCCAACATTTAGATGGTGAAACCATAATTGCTCCCACTAACTCTTTCAATCTGAATGATTCTTCCAGCCATGGGAAGTCAAATCTCATGCCTGGGAGCCACCTTTTTCCCTCCCTCTCTCTTTTCTTTCCTTCCCTCCCTCTTTTCTTCCTTCCTTTTGTGCCTATTATATGTCAGGCACTGTTCTAGATGCCTGCATTATAGAACTGAACCAAATGGGCAAAAATAACTGCCCTCCTGGAGGATCTATCCTAGTGCAGAGATAATGACAAAAGTAAGTTGAGTAAAATGTATTTGATAATGATTGTCGCTACACCAAAAATAATGCAAAGAGGGAGACAGAAACGCCTGGTGGTAGGAAGCATGCAAACATCCTGTTTCACACAGCACATTCCATGAAGACATCATAAGAGGATATTTGAGCATCAACTTACAGGAGGTGAGAGAGCAATGCCTACAGGGTTTGCAGGGAATGTTTTCCATGCAGCAAGAACAAATGCCAATGCCAGGAAGGAGTGCACTGTATGGGTTGGGGTCACTATGATTGCAGCACAATGAGGCAGATAGTGGTAGGATTTGGGTTGGAGAGAGAACTGGGCTACTTTGAACACTGGTTTGACTCCAAGACATACGGGAAGCCAGGGCAAGGTTCTTTTTTGTTTTTGTTTTTGTTTTTGTTTTTTCTTAGAGAGAGGTCTTCCATCTGTTGGTTCACTCCCTAGATGGCTACAATGGCTGGAATTGTGCCAGTCTGAAACCAGGAGCTTCCTCCTGGTCTCCCACATTGGTACAGGGGCCCAAGGACTTGGGCCATCTTCTACTACTTTCCCAGGCCATAACAGAGAGCTGGATCAGAAGTAGAGCAGCCGGGACTCAAACTGGTGCCCACATGGGATGCCCGCACTACAGGCAGTGGCCTCACCTGCCACGCCACAGAGCCGGCCCCGGGCAGGGTTCTGTGTAAGGACTGACATGAGTGGTACTTCTCTGGCTACTGTGTGAATAATAGATTGTGGGTAGGCTCTAGACACTAGCAAGACCAACATCTGAATATGAGAATACTGGCCATAAAGTTACAGTAAGCATAAATTTGTATTTTCTGCAGCATGTTATTCTGTGTGAACAGAGGCACTAACTGGGTGGAGAGTTTCTTTAACCAGGGTTGGTTATGGTCAGGACATACAATGCAGAGGAAAAAGGATTAGGGGATTTAAGTGAGTGTGTAAGACAGGAGACTATAATACAGATTAAGGAATCCCAAGTTGGTGAGGGAAAAAGTGCTAGAGAGTGAAAGGGTATTGAGAAAATGGATCACAGATCTCAACAGTGCCGAAAAATTGCTAATGTGGGAGCATCAGAGGACATGAGCTAAAGGGACAGAGATTGCATATGGAATAGTTGAAGCAAATAGAAACAGTAGATGTTTATTTCTTATTAGCATAATAACTGAAAAACAAGTTTTCCTATTCAGCAGATAGTTCTCCTCCAGGCAATAATTCAGGGACTTGGGCCTCTTTCATCTTGCGGCTCTGCCATTCCTTAGGGTTCCTAGGATTATATGCATACAGCTAGCAGAAGACTGAAATAAAAAATTCACTTCTTGGCCCAGAAGTGATTCTCACCATTTCCATTCACATTGCATTGGCAAGAACTAGATTCCTGGTCATACAGCAAAGGGGCTGGAAACATCCCTGGCTGGGCAGCTGCTTCTCATAGCTAACTATACCACGGAAGGGATAACAGAATTTTGGTGGACATTAACCATCTGTGTCACGGAGATGATGATGAGGCGATAGGATGCTCGCAATGCAGATCACAGAGGAGTTGCAGTTCCTAGTCTAGAGCTGACCGTAGGATGTGAAAGGCCCTGCAGGGATTGGAGGGATGAGTGTTGAAATGACCAGGAATTAGGACTGGAGCAGTATGAGAGAGTGACAGGAAGTCAGGGCTAACCACCTTCCCGCCTCGGCTGCCCATCAAGCAGAGGAAGACTGTGATAAGGTCTCAGGATCTTTTTCTCAAAGAGGTGGTGCCTGTCGGTTTCATGGTCTTCAAGGAAGTGACCTCTTGTCTTCCACAAGGTAATTCTGAGGGCATCACACTTCTTTCCTATCATGGTCCTCCAGACAGGCCAAGGCCACATCCTAAGCATCTGTTAATATTTCTATAAGAAATGCCAGTACTTATTGGATCCTTGGAAATTTCTAGTTAGAAATTTCTAGTTAGAAATTTCTAGTTAGCTTTAGCTGGCCTAATGTATTTACCCCTTTTGGGGCAACCACTCACTCACAGAGGCACATATGTGTGCACACTCAACCACACAAATTCACACAATCATGCACATTTATACACACACACTCATAAACACACAAACTTACGTACATATGTATACAGTCATACAAACACACACATACACAAACCTACACACAGACTTCTTCACTCCTCCACTTGTTTCTTCACTTTGCAAGATGTATCTAACAACGTTGGTCTGAACTCTATAGCTCTTGGGAAATTACCGGAGCAAAGTCTCTAAATGGGTGAAGAGAAATTCTAAGAGGATGTGAATTATTTCCCATGAGAATAGAATGAGAAAATGAGCATAAACTTCAGCAGCATAAAACTAGGGTTGATACTAGGAGGAATTTTCTAATCTGGAAAAGTCAAAAACTTTGAACTTTAGTGTCCTCTAATAATTTAGGTTTTTCTACTTATTTGAGAGGCACACACACACACACACACATACACACAGAAAGAGAACACTCCAAACCACTGGTTCACTTCTCAAATGATCACAACAGCTTGGGCTGACCCAGGCCAAAGCCAGATCCAGAAATTCGATCTGGGTCTCCCACATGGGTGGCAGGGACTCAACCACTTGAGCCATCACCTGCTGCCTCCCTGGGTGCACATCAGCAGGGAGCAGAGCTTGGACTTGAACCAGGTACCCCAGTATGGGACATGGGGATCCCAAGAGGTGCCAAAAGCTTGCCCTATCCTCTTGTGACAATTTTTGTGAAAGAACTAGACGGTACTCTGAGAGACCCATAGAGCTGAGAGCAAAACAGCTGAGAAGCCACTGACTCTGAAGGGACTTTTCACAGTGCTTTTCCCCCAAGACTGAAGGGGAAAAACCAAATTGGCTATCACAGGCCAGGTCTGAGAAAACTGGGGCTCTGCTACAGGGCTCTAGATTTTGGGTCCCGTGCCTCCTGTCATCTGTGCAGGAGAAAGACCTTGGGCAGCAGGGGAAGCCATTCCTCTCCAAGGTCAGTACAATTTACACCTCGTTTGCCTGGGATGTGTGAAAAGAGAATCCTCAAATGAGCCCTGGAGTTAACATTCTCAGGCAAGGGTCAGATTGCTGCCTGGGCTGAGCTGGGAGCTGCTGCTGACAGCATCTGGAACTGTCAGACCCTCTTTGCTGCTGCATCAGCCTCGTGCCGTCCTCAGCCCTCCCACCGGGACCCTGCTGAGAGTGCAGTCCTCAAGAGCAGGGATATCCTGGTGGCCAAGAGAGCTGGGCAGGAGTCCCCCAGGGAGGGCTACAGCCTGCCCCTCTATCTCTGCCCTGCTCAGCCCCCTGGACATCTCGGGGCTGGGGCCCTTTTGTTCACCTCAGCCCTCTGCAGTCCTTGGGTAGATCCCTGCCTCCCCTTCGTTGCTTCCTCCCTCCAGGGCAAGGTCTCTATCAGAGCCCTGTGGTGCCCAGCCCTGGGCAGGTAAATGGACAACAGACCATGCTCAGAGAATGAGCCCTTCAAATACAGTCCAAGATGGGAGGCAGGATCTTGGGTGCCAGGCACAGCTTCACAACCAGCTAGGAAATATCCAGCAAATCCCTTCCTCTGAACTCTGCTACTTCTAGCCCTCTTTTCGCTTGGGTGCTCACAAAGGCCCTTCATGGCTCTGGCAATCTGTAGGCGGCACAGGGGACAGCAGGTCACCTTCTCTGCAGCCCTCCCCCGCCAAGTGGAAGGGGTTATTTCCTCACCCAGCAGTGGGGAACCAAGCCCAACAAGATGAGGTTTTGACCCTCCTTTCCCATTACAGCCCCCCCCCTTTTTTTTTTCTCAAAAAACTCTCATATCCGCCTGGTTTCAACTCCTTGGCTGCTTGCCAGGATAGCCACAGGAGAGGAACACATCACAAACACTTCTTCTGTTCTTCATGCCCTGCCCCCAAATTGCCAAAGTCCAGCAGAGGGCAATAGGAGCAGAGGCGCCCAGATGCCTGGGGCGCCACCCCCACCCTGTTCTTCTAATGTGCTCAGGCCCCAGGCCTGACAGACAGGTCCAGGGCTCAGAGTACCCTCAGTCCCAGCCAGGTCGTTCTCTTAGCTGCAGACTAAGATTGGCACTGCCAAGGTGAAAACATGAGCCACACAGCAGTGAGGCCGACTGGGCAAACAAAACAACAGCATGCACTGCCTGTGTGTATTTATCTTCATCTACAAAGGACAAGTGACCTTGAGATGGTAGCGAGCAGACAGTGGTCTAGAGACGGACATGTAGGAGGAGCAGAGGAGAACCTGTTTATTTTAAATTTCATCTATTAAAGTTGTGTTTTAAATAATGAACACATTCAAATAGTAAACATACTGATGGGGCAAATGTTCAGGAATGTCTGCTCAGGGAAATGTGTGTTATCACACAGTTTAGAATCCACTTGCAAGCAGTCGTGCTGTTTGCCACAGGAATGTACCAGGGGTGGAGTGTTTTCAACTGTGAGGAATGAATTGTGGCAGGAGGTCTGGGTTACTGGTGGGAGCTGAAGTGCTGTCAAGTTCTACTTAAGACAACAACAGCAGAAGACTGTCTCTGCCTGGAAAAGGAGGGGACAGCTGCCCGGAGAAGGCTGGAAAAAGCTGTCAGTCTCAGCCAGGCCCCCAAGGCAGCCCAGGTGGGATATCTACACTGTGGCAGCCCAGCCAGAGAGGGGAAAAATCACTCCTGGTCACTCTCCAAACCTCCTGCTCAGCACTTTCCAGAACGTCTCCTGCTTTCCTTCTTGAAGCCAATAAACGTCATCTCATCTCCACTTCCCACCAGGGCAGGCCCAGGAGATCAAGGGGAAATGAGCGGTGGACCTAATCTTTCCCAGATTCTGTGTGTACAAAGTGATCCTCTACCAACTGGAAGAACACCACGCAGGCACCCAGGAACAGGATGGCCACACAGGGAAAGGGGCCCAGACGCCTGGCTCCCTCTGCGATGACATCAGTGCTGTCTGTGGTGGGGGTGGGGCGAGGGGGTAAAAGGGGTGGCTGCAGGACTTCGCGGTGTTGACTCTGCCTATGGAAGGGAAAGCATTCTCCTGTCCCATACTGCACCAGAGTGGAAGGTCAGGGTTAATAATGAAAGTGGCCTTATAAAAGCAGGGTTTTTTTTTTTTTTAAGTCTTTATTTATTTATTTATTTATTTAAAAGTCAGAGTTACAGGGGCGGAGGGAGAAAAGAGACAGAGAGACATCTTCCATCCAGCCTCTGGTTGAATCCCCAAACAGCTGCAACAGCCCAGGCTGGGCCAACCTGAAGCCAGGAGCTTCTTCTGGGTCTCCCAAGTAGGTGAAGGGGCCCAATCACTTGGGCCATCCTCTGCTGCTTTCCCAGGCCACCAGCAGATAGCTGGATTGAAAGATGAGCAGCTGGAACTCGAATCAGCACTCATATGGGATGCCGACACTGCAGACACTGGCTTAATCCACTGGGCCACAGCAGTGGCCCCAAAAGCCATTTATTAAGCAGTCTATTAAGGACAAGTGTTTAAAAGGGCCAGGAAGAGAAACTACACAGACTATACTGGTCTGTGCACAAACAAAAATCTGCTGATGAAAAGTCAGTAGTTGAGTTTTGAGGTTTTTTTTTTTGTTTGTTTGTTTGTTTGTTTTTTTTTTTTTTGGACAGGCAGAGTGGACAGTGAGAGACAGAGATAGAGAGAAAGGTCTTCCTTTTGCCATTGGTTCACCCTCCAATGGCCGCCGTGGCCGGCGCGCTGTGGCCGGCGCACCGCGCCTATCCGAAGGCAGGAGCCAGGTGCTTCTCCTGGTCTCCCATGGGGTGCAGGGCCCAAGCACTTGGGCCATCCCTCCACTGCACTTCCGGGCCACAACAGAGAGCTGGCCTGGAAGAGGGGCAACTGGGACAGAACCCGGCGCCCCAACCGGGACTAGAACCCGGTGTGCCGGCACCGCTAGGCGGAGGATTAGCCTATTGAGCCGCAGCGCCGGCCAGTAGTTGAGTTTTAAATTAATGTACATTGTGGTAAGCATCAGGCTGTACTCGTTTTCTGACTTTTAGACTCTCCAGGGGAACCTTCGGTCAGTTAGTCCAAGTCCCAACAAGATGCTGACAGCAGGGCCGGCGCTGTGGCATAGTGGGTAAAGCCACTGCCTCCAGTGCCAGCATCCCATATGGGCACTGGTTTGAGTCCCAGCTGCTCCACTTCTGATCCAGCTCTCTGCTATGGCCTGGGAAAGCAGTAAAGGAAGGCCCAACTCCTTGGGCCCCTGCACCTGCGTGAGAGACCCAGAAGACACTCCTGGATCCTGGCTTCGGATTGGCACAGCTCCGGCTGTTGCACCCAACTGGGGAGAGAATCATTGAATGGAAGACCTCTCTCCCTGCCTCTCCTTCTCTCTCTCTGTAACTCTTTCAAATAAATAAATCTTTAAAAAAAAAAAAAAGATGCTGATAGCAATCTTCTTATTCTCTCAGGAAGTGTCTTTCTCTGGTGAACAATGCCTGGATTCACAGGGTATAGCTGCATGCAGTATCCATTTCCCATCTCTTTTTTCTCTTTCCATCACTCAGAGCACCCCAAGATCTGGCTACCTCGGGCCCTGAGGCAGACCTATATCCGGAAGGTTGGGGACACGGTGAACCTACTGATCCCATTCCAGGTGATTACCATCAGTCCCATGCTGGGTCCACGGCTGGGACCAGGCTCGGGTTTTGACTTGGAAACAGGTACTGAGAGTCCTGTAGTGAGGCAGTCTTCCTGGCCTTGACTGGAGAGGACCACATCACCAGTCATCTCAGACCAAATGACTCGTCCACTCTGCATTCCTAAGGGTGGGTTTGGGTAGGGTTAGGAGTGCCCCAAGGGATGAGGTGAGGCTAATCCATGCCTTTCAGTCCTCGGAGGTCTGGAAGGTCTCAGTATTGAGGGCTCATGGAAGTTTGGGCAGCTATTCATTTTGTCCCTTCTGCCCTGCAAGTCCACACTCTAAAGATTTATTTATTTTATTTGAAAGTCAGAGTTACACAGAGAGAGAAGGAGAGGCAGAGACAGAGAGGTCTTCCATCTTCTGGTTCTCTCCCCAGTTGGCCACAATGGCCGGAGCTGGGCCAATCTGAAGCCAGGAGCTTCCGCAGGGTCTCCCACGCGAGTGCATGTGCTCAAGGACTTGGGCCATCTTCTACTGCTTTCCCAGGCCATAGCAGAGAGCTGGATTGGAAGTGAAGCAGCCGGGACTCGAACTGGCACCCACATGGGATGCTGGCACTTCAGGCCAGGGCATTAACCCTCTGTGCCACAGTGCTGGCCCCACATCCACACTCTAAACTCTCAGAGGGCAGGAAACACAAACCCATCCTCTTTCCCATGATCTTCAGACTTGCTCCAAGAAGGAAGCCCCCTTAGACAGCCCATCAAACTCTAACTCAAGGAATTTGCATCAAGTCACCCTGCAGGCCTAGGGATCTGACCCCTCCATAGCAAGGAGGGTTGAGAAACTTCTTGGGGCTGCTTAGCCTTCTCCCAATTCCCCAGGGCAAGCCCAGACCTCAAGCCACCTGGACTCACAATGGCTGTGCCTTGGATGCCAGTCGTGTGAGCGTGCGGAACGGGGAGCGAGACTCTATCCTCTTCATCCGGGAGGCTCAACGTGCTGACTCGGGTCGCTATCAACTCCGTGTGCAGCTGGGAGGGCTCGAGGCCACAGCCACCATTGATATCCTGGTGATCGGTACTCTGGGGGCTATGGGAGATGGGATGGTCCATGCTGAAGAGCTGTCTCCGACAGCTGAGCAAGCTGGGTGACAGCCCCACCCCAAGCCTGGGACGCAATGGTGGGCAAGGGGAGGGGTAGGCTGGGGAGGTGTAAGAGAGACCAGGGACACTGGTGAAGTCATTTCAGTGCATGTGGGTTGTACTGTGTCCACTACCATGGCTTTGCCCTTTCAGAGAGGCCAGGCCCTCCTCAGAGTATTAAGCTGGTAGATGTTTGGGGCCTCAACGCCACCCTGGAATGGACACCTCCCCAAGACACAGGCAACACAGTACTCCTGGGATACACGGTGCAGAAGGCTGACACAAAATCGGGGGTGAGGCCTAGCTGGGAGAGAGGAAGGGAAACAGGGAGGGAGGGAAGGAGGAACAGGGACTTCTGGAAGAAGCCTCTCCTAGCTCCATGTGGGGTGAGGTCACAGATAGCTGCCTCATTCATGGCTATTTATGGGACCCCACAGCTGTGGTTCACGGTGCTAGAGCATTATCATCGCACCAGCTGCATTGTCTCCAACCTCATCGTGGGCAATTCCTATGCCTTTCGTGTCTTTGCTGAAAACCAGTGTGGACTCAGTGAGACAGCCCCCATCACTGCTGACCTTGCCCACATCCAGAAAGCAGGTAAGGAAGGCACAGAGGCCAATACCTAGGAAGACTGGGGGAAAGGGGTTGAAGAAAGATGGGGCATATCAGCTGCTACATCATGTCCCCTCTTGCTGCCTGCAGCTACTGTTTACAAGAGCAAGGGGTTTGCCCAGCATGACTTCTCTGAAGCCCCAAAGTTTACCCAGCCCCTGGCAGACTGCACTACAATCACAGGCTATGACACCCAGCTCTTCTGCTGTGTCCGTGCCTCTCCCAGGGTGAGTATGGTGTTCTGGGGAGTGGTGGTACGGAGCTGCTGCCTGCTCCTATTCTGTCCTTACCTTAGCTATGCCACAGAGAGTTCTAATGCAGCATCTGTTACCATCACATCTGTCTGCCTCCTCAACATGTTATTTACGAACAGAGTCCTTATAGTCTGAGATAGACTGATGCAAATGATGTTTCCTTTTGGTGTCTGTTCCTTATATATGAAAATGTCACTTACTGATATGCTAGCAACTGAGTGTGAGCTTCAAGTTGTTTATCTGGTAGGAATGCCAGAGTCCTATGGGTTTCTGACCCATCCAACTGTTCAGGGCCATGTGCATGCAGGCTGCTTAGAGTTGAGCCTCTGATTGTACCCTGAGCAAGGCTCTCTGCACATTTACAATCTAGTCACTACACTCTATATGTGTTATAAAACACCATTAACAATCTTTAACAAACATCTTTTGGGTTATGACTCCTGGGCCAGACTGCGTACTCTGGAAACTACTTTCTACCTGGAAGGGACAGGAGCAAAGATAAGCTGACAGTGGGAATAGATTATGAATGATTCACGGTACAAATATGAAAAAAGAGGAGCCCCTGTCCCTAGTGCTTATGATCCATGAAAGGCTGCTTAGGCACTACGGAACAGAAATTACCACTTTTCTTCTCATCAGGGATAGTCAATGAAGGCAAGGTGCCAGGTGCCCTTTTCAATCAAGAAAAGGAGCTTGGGGGATGTTGGAGGCACTGGAAAGGGAATCCTATCCCACAACATAAAGGATAGGGAGCCTTCCAGAAAGCCATTTTTTTTTAAAGATTTATTTATTTGACAACTACAGTTGGGTGGGGGTCTTCCATCCGCTAGTTCACTCCCCAAATGGGAGCATCAGCCGGGCTGGGCCAGGCCAAGCCAGAAACCAGGGGCTTCTTCTGGGTCTCCTACATGAGTGCAGGAATCCAAGAACTTGGACCATCCTTTGCTGCTTTCTGCCATTATTTCTAAATTATAGGGCGCAGCAGGTTTAGCTCTGCCTGGGACCCTGGTTTTCCATATCAATGTGCCAGTTTAAGTCCCAGATACTCCACACTTTTGTCCCGGTTTCCTGCTAATGTACCTGGGAGGTAGCAGACAATGGCCCAATTACTTGAGTTCCTGCCACCCATGTAGGAGATCCAGATGGTGTTCTTGGTTCCTGGCTTTGGCTTGCCCTAACACTAGCCTTTGAGAGCATTTGGGGAGCGAAGCAGTATACAGGAAATCAATCAACTTCCCCTTCCCTCGCCCTCTTTGTCATTCTTTCAAATAAATAAGTAAATCCTTAAAAGAGAGAGACTGAAAACTCAGAGTAATTTGTTCTTACTGCAAGCCCTGCTGCTGCTTTTCTTTTGTCTTTCAGCCCAAGATCATCTGGTTGAAGAACAAGATGGATATCCAAGGCAATCCCAAGTACAGAGCTCTCAGTCACCTGGGAGTCTGCTCCCTAGAAATCCGCAAGCCTGGTCCCTTTGATGGAGGCATCTACACCTGCAAAGCAGTTAATGCCCTGGGGGAGGCATCTGTGGACTGTCGGGTAGATGTGAAAGGTAAGGGCAGGAGGATAACTGTGGCCTCAGGGTGCTAATCATCTAAGGCTGGAGAAGTCAGGAGGTACCAAAGATATAAGCCCAGGTCGAAAGGGGTCTCTCTCTCCAGGCCCTCTTTCACTGTTATCATCGAGATGCGACTGAGGAGTCGTTTGTTGTCCCCCATCTCGTTTCTCTGCTTCACAATTCTGTAATACAGAATCAACATTTCCATTTTGCAGAGGAGAAACACAAAGCACAGGGAGCAACTGGTTTACTCAAGATCTCCAGGGCTGGTACCTGAGGAGCTGGTACTATGTTGGGAAGTAGCCTGTATCTCCTGGTCCTCCACTCAGATCATGTTCCTTTAAACTACGTATCTTCTGACTCAGTCTAGGAAAGCTGCAGCTGTTTGTTAGGCTTTATTTAACTTTCCCCTCTGCTTTGTTTAAAGGTAATACTGCACAAGCTCCATTCCTTTTAGAATATTCATTTATCTGTCCAGTCCTGTTACCTTATTCAAATCTCCTTAACTGCATTTAGCTTGTTGCTTCATAATGACCTAGTTTCAGGTCTCTTTCTCCATTAAACTGTATGCAGTGTGAGGGCAGGAAGTGTCTCATTACCTGTGTCCCCCCCCCCCCAAGAATCAAGCCCTGGTGGGCACTGTCTAAATGTCTGTTCATGAATTTACATGTACCATTCTTCTCTCTGTATAACTCCCCTAGCTAGTACCATAACTCTCCAAAGCCCTGAAAGAGAATATTCCTTCCCAATGCTCTGAGGTTTCCCAGAGATTTCTGAGATGTTAACATTAAGAAATGATTTAATTCTTGCAGCTCCTCACTGAAGCTACCCAAGAGGACATGGTGCTCTATAAAAGGTAAGAAGAGAGATGGGTGTCTCAATGGATTAGTTCACGTTTATAGCTAATGTTGTCGACTCTGGGACAGATGTGTATTCTGAGCCTTTCTATCAGGTACCCACCGGTGACTACTTTTTTTTAGCCATTTTTTAAAAAGCTAATATTATCATCCCTGAAGGGAGTTTATCATAGATGAAGTTTACGTTTGTCACATCCTTTATATGTTTGTACTCCTTGGGCTTGTAATAGAAATGAAGAGTGATAGCAGCTACCTCACAGGAGGTACTGTGGGAGGGAGTTGGACAGTTACTGCAAGAAAGGATGCCAAGGAAACAGCTGAAAAGTGGAGGAACTGACAAGAGTCACCCCACCACGGGTCAGCAGGGAGGGTAAGGACAGAGGAGGGTGTTTCTGTCAATCAAGTGCTCCCACCTCGGGATCATAAGCATGATAAGACACAGATTAGTTTACTACTGTTTCACTTTGAAGTTTATGCATACCTTCTCATCCAAGAGAAGAAAACCACCATTTTTACTGGATAGCAATAATAAATATTTGGATATGTAGTTTCCAGGCAGCACATGACTGGCAAAGGGTAACTCAGCTTGTCATTCACACTCAAATCATTACTCAGATCTTGACAGCTCCTTCAACTTCTAAATCATTCACAGCAGAAATATTGTGTACAAAGCTCATGAGAAAATTAAAAAGGACTAGTTCCCAATGTCCCCTATGTCTTGCAGCTCCTGGTTGATGAAAGTTGAGAATGAGTTCAATCCCACAAACCATTTGTTTAAGCCTATCATTGATAGATAGCAAACGAAAACACTAAGCGATGCGTTAGAAGTGCAGACTTCATGGGAGAGCTCTCTTTGCCAGCTGGCTTGTGGAGACAGTTCTCTCCGTACCCGCTTCCCCTTCTCTGTGTTCATGCTGTGTTGTGTTAGTGTTAGTTACCCTCTTCCCCCTCTCACAGCCAGTGCCCAGCAATGAAGCAGGGTAAGTGGTGAATCCATAGCACGGGATCCAGGCCCCATGAAGAGGGACTGTCTCAGTGTCCTACATGTGCCCTGGCTGTTTGCTGTCATGGCCACAACAGACCCTCTCTTTTCAGTGCCTCCAGGAAGCCTGCCTGTGGCGAGACTATTCTTAAGGAGCTTCAACACAATGTCTGGTTTGAACTAATCTAAATAAACGTGTGGATCCTCTGTGCATAAAAAACCATCTGTTTGAGCCTTTCTATATGGGAAAACATTGTGAAAATTAGAATCTTTCAGCCTGACTGGAATGTCAGGACCCTAAGATTCTTCCTTCTCTTTCCATAACCACATTCTCTTCCACAGAGGTTTCTGATGCTGTCCTTTGCCCTAGACAGTCTATGACAGAACTGAATTCACCTCTGCAGTGCCGAGTGTTAAGGAGAAATATTGAAGATGACTTGCTCTCTTCCTCTGTGGGCTTTCTAGGGTAATAAGAGTGCACAGGGCTCACAAAACAGCAACCAGAAATACAAGCATAGTTAGTTAAAGACAGAGCCCTAAGACCTGAGGGCTGAGATGGTACTGAAGAAACTGAGAACAGAAAGGGAGGCCTGAAGGTGAGGTTCCCTTATCTTTGTTTCCATTCTTACAACAAGTAAGATATTGAAGGCATTTTGTAATGGAATCTACAAAAGACAGCTCCCATCTTTGGGCATGATGCTTTTTCCATCAAGAGTTGGGGGTCTAGGTCTCTTTCCTGTGAATCATGTCACTTGCTTCAATCAAAAGAATATAACAAAAGTGTTGCTCTGTCAGTTCTGGGCCCATACCTTAAGAGAGCTGGTAGTTTCTGCTTTTGCTCTTGGAAGTCAGCTCCTGTGTAAACAATCTCAGGCTAGATGGCTGAATTGTGAGAGGACACGTGGAGGGCAACAGAGCATCCTAGCTGGCAGCCAGCACTGAGGCCCTCGATGGTGTGACCACCTTGGACCCTTCACCCCCATCAAGGCCAGTCAACACCTTGTGGAGCAGTGACACACCATCCCTGCAAAGCCCTTCCCCAGCTGCAAAATCAACAGCAAATATATGATTGCTGTTTCCAGCCACTAAATTTTGAAAGTGGCCTGTTACATAATAATAGATAATTGAACCAGCCTTCTATGTATCAGGCTTGAACTAAGTGCTTTGTCTCTTTTCATCTCCATTTTACAAGCACGAATTTAAGCTTATAAATTGCCCCAGGTCATGCAGCTGACAAGCAGAAGAGCTATGATTTGAACCAGATCCTCTCACCTCTGTCACCCCATCCTCCAGCCACCTTTGCAGAGGGTCTAGGTTGGAATCATGGGTTTTAAGAAAGAAAATATTTGTAGAAGACAACATTAGACAGGGTTTTGAGGAGGAAAGGAATATGATTTGGCTGAGAACAGTGTGAAGGGCTTTTCTGTTCAGACCAAACATCCATTTTCAAGTGAAAAACTGAATGTGTCTATTCCATCCCTTCTCAACTGGAGCTCCATGAGAATGAAGCCCCCAGGCCATAAGGCATCCATGTATGTCAGAAATCAGCTTCTTCCGATGAACCTAGAATGTTACTAGTTATGCACCATCCTCAGGAAAACAGAGAAAACAACCATGCAAATCATTTGCAGGACCTACTGTACTCACAGAACCTCTGCTTGAGAATGGAGGGGGAAGGGTCAGACTGCAGTGCCAGCCAGGTACAGAGGGGCTATGAGGTCTCCTCTAGTTGAAGCAGGGTCTAGGTCAGAAAGGGGTGAAAAACCTCGTTATGATGCTCTAAGGACCAGTCAGACCTTGGGCCTCAGCCCTCAGTCCCTGCCTTTGCTATCTGCTGAATTACTTAAGGGCCATCCCTTAACAGTCGTATGTTCTCAACTTTTACAGTGAAGGAATAAAGTCCTCACACTGAGCAAGACCTCCAGGCCCAGTCAATCCTTCTGCATCTGCACAGGCACAGCATCCTTAATGTTTTCTTCTATACACATGACATTTGTGGAATACCTGTGCCGGGCTCTCCGTGTGTGTGATTTCTTTCTTCATTCACGTTCATCCAAAATCTTAAACACTCATCATACACTACTTAGGGTGAGGTGAGCGCAACACCCATCAAATATTTCCAGATAGTGGCCTTATGCTGAGAGAAGAACTCTTGTACCTGAAATCTATACTTTTCGGCTTTACTGTTATTTTGATGGAGGAAAAAGTAGTGTTTTTGTTTTTGTTTTGCTGGTACTGCAACAGCTTTCCAAATAAAAACTTGGTGACAGAAAAATTGGAGATGAATTTCCTTAAAAGAAACTCACCTCCAATTTGCTAAAACTTACTTCCCCAGTCACCTGAGTGGGTGAAAAGAGGAGTTCCCTACTCTGGTCTGCTACTAAGGGAAGGAAGCCTCTTGCAACCTCCTCTCTACTTTGCTACTACTCGCCTGGACACAGGGAAGCTTCTAGCTGTTTTTCTCACCCTCCTTATGATATCGGATGGCTCACTAATAATTTTCTATATTAATAAGCCTGTGGGCTCTTGCCACATATTCAGAGAATAATTCTAAATACTGGCTCAAATAGACCAAACATGGTAAGTTTTTTTTTTTTTTAACATGGTAAGTTTTTAAGGATTTTATTCAGTGAGAGAAACGCGCAAAAGAGTGAGGGCTTTATTTAGGGGAGAAAGAAGTTAAGTTGGGTCCATACCAAGCAGAGAGCAGGCCAGGAGCAAGCCACGTGGAGCAAGCGTATAGTTATGAGCAGCCACAGGTAGCTTAACACAGCAGCAAAGCAAGGCAGACAGCGAGCCAGTAGGCCCCACACCCCAAAGGCATGTGGAGCAAGAGTGAGCCCACTGTGTTCCAGGCCCATTTATTTGCTCCCAAAGGGGGGAGTGGTTACATAGTCTGATCGGCAGGTAGGTGTCCAGGCGAGGTCACCTAAGGGGGCATGAGATCACACAGGGGCTTGGTGAAGGTGTGGTCTCCAGCTTAGGAACCTGATTTGATCCTATGTGCCTGCCTACATCACTTAGACCCCGAATCGTGCAGCCAACAGCAATCCTCCTCCCCCCCGCTGGGATTCCTCACATATATTTGCACCTTCCTTTAACACCCCACTAAGATCCAAGGCTCCTTGGCTCCCGGTGGCATTTCTGACAGTCACCAGCTCACTCCTGCTGCTAAACACTACAGGAAACACAGACGCCTCCGGGTCACCAAATAACGGCCACCAACTCCGGGGACTAAAGCTCGGGCTCTTTGTTGACGGGATAAGGCCTCAGCCTGTCTCAGGGCATCGCTAACAGCTGACCCGGCCCATTTACAGACAACATCCCTAGTACGCAGGCTTCCACGTTACCGACACAAGCTCTCAGTCGGAGTCGGAGGGAGCCTGCCGGGCCCGCCCCGAGGGCTCGCGGGCCAAGCCCCGCCTGCCGCGCGTAGTCCCCGTCAGGACAACCGGGACGCTTTGCACCCAAGCCCGGGGCGGGCTCATAAACGGAAGCGTCAGGGTTGAGTTCGAACCTAGTTTCCCTGTGAGAAAACATAATTTTTCCTTCACACCTCGCCTGCTTCAGGTTCCAAAGTTCTTGCTTAAAATCGTAATGGAGGACGTACGTCTTGGCAGACCTCTCAACAAGAGCCGACCTAAAATGGCCATGTTTAGTTACTTCCTTAACTTGTAAAAAAAAAAAAAAAAAAAAAAAAAAAAAAAACACGTGAAAAAACCTGGCAGACGCGGCGCTCGCAAGCTGAGCGCGTTCGCTCTGGCCGAGGGCTGCTCTCAACGACCCCCCGACAAGCAGCAGTCTTCAGCTGCCTCACCGCGGCCGCGGCGGGCGGAACAGCCGCCCAATAACGCCCTGGCGCGACTGCGGCGGCGCGCTGAACCCACACTCATTGGCCCGTTCCCTCGCGCGCCGCCACGAGGTCCCGCCCCCCTGGGCCAGGTTCCCCTCTGCTCGCCGCCTGGGGGTGGAAGCCAGGTCTCCCGGACGCGCGCGCGCACGCGCTCGCGGTCTTGCCCCATCGCCCCGCTCGCGCTCTCCCGGATGGAGTCATCCTGGGACCTGCTCCAGGTCCGGCCCCCACCTGCAGACTTCCGGCCGGCCGCCTCAGCCCCACCTCTGATGATCCACCAATCACTGTGCTCGTGCCGCAGGAGTGGGTGGGGCCTGAGAGATTCGAAAGGAGCCCCGCCCCCAGGAGCCGATTCCCGGGACAAGGTTGTGGAAGCAAAGCCTCTTCTGTGGATGGTGAGGTCGGGTAGGGAGTGGAAACAGGTGGGCTGGAGGTGTGGCGTGGATGTGGGGCCGCGGGGTGGAAAGGAGGCTTAGGAAGAGGAAGAACCCAGGAGATACTGGTGGGGAAAAGGAGAGGACGTGCAAACAGCCTCCGGGCACAGCTCGCTGCAACTTTTCCAGAGGGAGGGGGAGATACAGGCCCAGGTGCTACTCCGGGACGCTCGCTTTGCCTCCTGCCTGACCCCTGCCCCTGGCTTGCACCTTGAGGCTAGCGGGAGCCTTGGGCAGCATGGATGCTTAAGCAAAAGTACGGTTTTTCTCCAGCCGAGATCAGAACTGACTCGCTCTCCTGGCTAGACATGGAGAATTTGGAGGAAGGTAAGGAAACCCTGGGGGGCGGGAGGGGGGAGATGAGTCCCTGGGATTGAGAGCCCCGTCAGGGACCTTCAGCTGGCGTTCAATCTTCTTGGCCTCCAGATGTAAAGTTTATTGTGGATGAGACCTTGGACTTTGGAGGGCTGTCACCATCGGACAGGTACCAGCCTCTTGATCCCACTTGTTTTCCTCCAACACCACCTCTATGTATCTCTCTGCTCACTGCTGAGTCCTTGGCCCCGGAGCTTGGGTTGGCAAGTTTTGGTGCACTTAGGCTGCTGGGTGGCTGACTCCAGCCTCTCTGATGCTACCCATGAGGAGCTGAGAAGGGAGAAACTGGAGTTTGATTTTAGAATGTTAAGAAAGGCAGCAGATTCGCTGCATCTTCGTTCTGACATCATCTGTGATGTCAGTAAAGAGTAAAAGCCCTGCTAGACCTCAGGGAACCAGGTATCTCGTCACCCAGAAGCCAGCATGGACCTCAGGACTGTGGTGTGTGTGTGTGTGTTGGGGGGGTGTTCAGGTTCCATTGCACAGAGTCCCTGTCTCCTGCTCTCTTTCGTGCGGGCATGGTGCCTTGTTTTCTGTCTCAGTCGCGAGGAGGAAGACATAGCAGCGTTGGCAACTCCAGAGAAACCACTCCGACGGGGCCTTTCCCACCGAAGTGACCTGAATGCAGTGGCCCCTGCGCCCCAGGGTGTGAGGCTCAGCTTGGGCCCCCTCAGCCCAGAAAAGCTGGAGGAGATCCTCCATGAGGCCAACAGGCTGGCGGCCCAGCTGGAGCAGTGTGCCCTGCAGGAGCGCGAGAGCGCGGGCGAGAGCCTGGGGTCCCGCCGGGTGAAGCCCAGCCCCCGGCGAGAGACCTTCGTGCTGAAGGACAGTCCTGTGCGAGACCTGCTGCCCACGGTGAGCTCTCTGGCTTGGAGCACACCCTCCCCCAGCAGCCTGACGCCTCGACACCGGAGCTCCGATAAGAAGGGCTCCACCAAGGCTCTTCGGGCAGCATCTGGAAAGAGGCCCTCTGGCCTCAAGAGGGTGAGTTTGGGGGACTGAGCGGGATGTGTGCCTGCAGGCACTGCGTGTGACATGCTGCAGGCATCGAGTGGTCTGCTCTCGGGGGCAGGAAGTTCTCCCTCTAGAATTGTTGGAGGTACAGATGCCACAGCAAAGCGCTTGCCACAGTGTCCGGGTACCAGCTCTGTAGTGTCCATGAGCAGCTAACTTCCGTCCTTCCTTGCTGTGGTCTCAACAGCTCCCAACCTCTGTCCCCGAAGCCCCTGGGCTCACAGAACTGATCCCTTCTCCATTCTAGTCATTGTCCCCCTCTCTTTGTGTTTCAGGAATCGCCCACTTGCAATCTGTTCCCTGCATCCAAAAGCCCAGCATCTTCTCCTCTTGCCCGATCAACTCCTCCAATCCGGGGGAAGGCTGGGCCTGGTGGGAGAGCGACAGCAAGTGAGAACTCCTGGGCCGCAAAGCTGGGGGTGAGTGGGAGGAGGGAGGATGGGGAGCTAACCCTGAAATTCTTCTCCTCCTCTCCACCAGGCCCACCTACCCCTGTCAGAACGGTCCTGGCCCCACAGCCCGCTACCAGCAACTCTCAGCGCCCGCCCCGGCCACAGGGAGCAGCTGCCAAATCTTCCAGTCGCCTGCCGATTCCCTCGGCCATTCCCAGACCTGCCAGCCGCATGCCACTCGCCAGCCGGAGTGGGCCACCTGGCAAAGGTGCCCTGCCTCCTGATTCTGTGTCGACACGAAAAGGGCTTCCCAGACCAAGTGCTGCAGGCCACAGAGGTGAGGGGAGGTGGACATGAGGGTAAAAAATTGGGAGGAAGAATACCTATACCAGACCAACTTGACCTTACCCTGCAAGAGCTGGCTACAGCAACCTCTTCCACTGTCTGTATTTCCATGCTATTTGGAGATGGGGAGGCTGAGTTAAGAAGAGAATGTGGGATTGGGCAAAGAATTTTAACCTTGAGTTCCAAATACTCATGGATTTAACCTTTTAGGGGATACCGATCCCCGACCCACTCTGCCTTCACTGGGGATTTGTTTTGAGAAGTCAGTTGAAGTTTCTGCTATTTATCTCTTTTGGTACCCCCACCCCACCCCCATCAAGTTCCAGTTTCCCAGCGACCAAATCTTCCTGTCACTGGTGCCACTCGGAACAGTCTGCAGCCCTCCAGGAAAGTTGCAGTCGCAGGACCTACGAGGTAAGACTGGTTCCCCCAATGCGCCATCCCTAGCATCTGGACTTCCAAGCTGATATGCACGTCAGCCTTGAATTCTGTTTGGAAAAAGGGAGGTGAGGAGGGAGGCCTGGAGCGGGGTAGGAGGGATCCTGTTCATCCCACCCTGAGGAGCTTGAGCCCAGCTGGGTGACGGTTGGGTTTGAGGAAGAAGGGCAATTTAAGGATGCTCCGCTGTCTCTTTAGGTAAAGAGATGGGACCACAAGCAAGAACTCGGTAGCAAAGCACTACACTCACTGCCTGAACTCGTCTGCACTCAGCAGGTCCTGACTCCAGCCGATTCTGGCCCAGGGGCGGGAGGAAGAGATACCACCAGGGCCAGTCCCCAGGAATAGAGACCAGAGAGGATGAGGTGGATTAGGGCTGAGCTGGAGGAGACTCAAACTCTCTGGGTTGAAAGAAGATTAGTGAAAAAGAGGTCACTCCCCAGCAGTGAAATTAGCAACCAGCAAACGAGAATGGCAGGCAAGCCGGGGTCCACATCCACCTCCGCTCGTGCCTCCCGCCCCAGAGGTTGGTCTTCCTGCCTGGATGCAGACGTGTGATTTACCTGTGAACGGCCTCTGGGGCTGACCTTGAAGCTCTCGGAGGAGCAGGCTTCCTGAATCACAGCCTCTGCTGGACTCAGCTGGAGACAGGCACCTGGGCTCCAGAACTCGTTTCCTATGAATTCCGTGAGTTCTCACAAGCCAGTTTGTGACAAGCGTACTCCACTAGTCTGCGTTTTTCTAAAATAAAATGTATTTTTATATGCTCTGTAGACCTGAAAGTCAATCTGCTCAGTTTCTAACAAAGTTGAGTTAAACTTCTCTGTAATTTGGTGAAGGAGCCTGGGTAGGCCTGCCGGGGCAGAGGCTCCGAGAGGCTCCAGGGCCTTGACACTCCAGTAGTTAGGCTGCGACCGACCCCCTTGTTGCCATTGGATGGGAGCAGGCCGCCTTTCCCCCAGGAGTCATAGTGTTAGAAGTTCCAGATCAAAGTTGCACACAGCTGAATTTAGTGTGGAAGGCTGTTAAGCCCTGACCTAGGGAAGCTACTTCTGTCCTGAATGGAGCCTCTTAGGAACCTATCAGCTTCTCAGCCTGCTGCATGTGGGGAAGAGGAGGCCTTCTGGTCGTGGTCAGCTTCCCCGCGTGCCCCAGCAGATGTTGGAATGGAATACCTCGTCACTTTCTCAATTACATCATGCGAGTCGTCTGTGTCCCTTCACCTCCCCTACCGGACTTGAGGGCTGGAACCAGGATTGTACACCTCTTCGTTGCCCTGGTCGTGTCACTTGTACACAGCAGAGCATTTCATTAATTTATTCAGAAAATATGTGGGTACCAGATGGTGGGGGGTTATTGCATAGAGAAGACTCAATTGACAGTTTTAGTTTAGGGTCTCCTATTGGAGGCAGCCTTGGACACTTGCAACCAGAACCGACTTCATTCCTTATGAATTTTCATTTCTATTTGAGAGACAGAGCTGCCAGCCCCTGGTTCACTCCCCCAAATGCCTGTAACAGCTGGGCGTTGGCCAGGCTGAGGCCAGGAGCCAGGAACTCAATCCAGGTTTCCCACGCAAGGACCCAACCACTTGAGCCATCACATACTACCTCCCAGGGTCCACACTGGCAGGAAGCTGTGGTCTGCAGTGAGAGCTGGGAGCTGAATGCAGGCACTCCAATGGGAATTGCAGATACCTTTTTTTGTTTAAGATATATTTATTTATTTGAAAGGCAGAGTTACAGAGAGGCAGAGAGAGAGGTCTTCCATCTGCCAGTTCACCCCCCAAATGACCGCAACAGCCAGAGCTGGGCCAATCTGAAGCCAGGAGCCAAGAGCCACCTCCGGGTCTCCCATGTGGTTGCAGGGGCCCAAGGACTTGGACCATCTTCCACTGTTTTCCCAGGCCATAGCAGAGAGCTGGAACGAAGTGGAGCAGCCGGGACTAGAACTGGCGCCTATATGGGATGCCAGCACTGCAGACAGCGGCTTTACCTGCCAGGCCACAGCGCCAGCCCCTGTGTAGGTATCTTAAACATTAGATCAACCTTGTCCCCCTGGTGAGGTTTGAGGGAGTTTCCTTCCCTGAAGGCCTGGCCATAACTTAAGGAAGGCAGCAGGCAAATGGGAATGCCAGATGGTCTGTCCCCATCAGCACCCTGCTTAGACATTGAAGTGCCTTCCTGGTGTTACTGGTCATGGAGGGGAGGGTGGTTGTCGGAGTGAGTCTGGTGGGTTCTTTTCCTCAGCTTAGTATAGAAATAAAAAGCCGGGAATTTGCAAAGAGGTAGAAACTTTTTTTTTTTTTTTTTTTTTGACAGGCAGAGTGGACAGTGAGAGAGAGAGACAGAGAGAAAGGTCTTCCTTTGCTGTTGGTTCACTCTCCAATGGCCTCCGTGGCCGGTGCACCGTGCTGATCCGAAGGCAGGAGCCAGGTGCTTCTCCTGGTCTCCCATGGGGTGCAGGGCCCAAGGACTTGGGCCATCCTCCACTGCACTCCCTGGCCACAGCAGAGAGCTGGCCTGGAAGAGTGGCAACCGGGACAGAATCCGGCGCCCCGACTGGGACTAGAACCCGGTGTGCCGGCGCCGCAGGCGGAGAATTAACCTAGTGAGCCATGGCGCCGGCCAGAAACTTTTATTAGAAAAGAAACTTTTTTGATTGGCAAGTGACAGAGAAAGCGTCTGGTCCGAGAGGAGAGCAGGCGGAGTGCCCGAGTGGGACACTGGCATTGAGGGAGTGTCTGGGTTTTTAAGGCATTGCCGTCTGTTCATTGGGTCATCCTACTGGGGATGCCCATTGGACAGGGGTTTCACATACGTATGTTGATTGGCTTGGGGCTCAAGGAGATAGCAGGGTCTCCTGGAGACAGTCCGTCTCCTTAGGGGCTCAGCTCCCTCCTCTGCTAGCTCTGGGTGGAAGATTGCAACTAACTTGAAGGAATTATTTAAAACCGCAAGGTCACACAGGATAGCCAGGGTCTCCTGGAGCAGGTCCGACTCTCCCCAGGTGCTCAGCCCCTCCCCTGCCAGCTCTGAGTGAAAGCTTGCCCCCACCCAAAGGTGTGATTCAAGGCTGCAGGGTCACACATGCAAGCACAAGGAACTGTTAGTGAGGGAGATGCCGGTTGGCCTAGAGACATGCTTTCCAGCCACAGCTGATAGCTTGCTTATAAAGGAAGTTCTACCTATGTCTGAAGGGGCCCGCAGACCCCCTAGCCCCATTGGCCGGCCTCACTTTGCCCCTGGCGCTTTCCCCTTTCTGTTTCTATTGCTGATCTCAAGGTTCATTGAACGCATTCCCCTGCATCGCGGTGACAGCTGCCCAGCCCTCCACTTCTGCCTGAGCCTCTTGCAGCAACTGCACGTACCTGGGGGATTCCAAGCATGGATGTGGCGGTGGGAGGCAAAACACAGTGTCTGGCTCTGGAGAAATGTAGCATGAGGCCAAAAACAAAAAAAACCAAAACCTCAGGTGTGTTTCTCAGCTTCAGTAAGCAGGGCCCGTTGTGGACTTCTGGCTCTGACCGAAGCATGGAAGGTCAGCAAACCTAGGTAACCACCTAGGCATGGCCGGCAGGTGGCACGAGCTGGTGGGCTGGGTCTGAGCCAGCGGGCGGGTCGTGAACGGCGAAGCCGCAGCAGAGGCATGCGCTCTCGCCACCTGGCGGCTGGCGAGGGCAAGGCATGCTGTACTCTTCGCTCTTCCTCGCAGTCTGCAGTTTTGTGCCCCTTCCCAGCCCCTCCCGCCCCAAAGCCGCTTAGGCAGCAGTCGGTAGGCGGTGCCCTCCCCGGCCAGGTCGTGGCTGCACTTGGGGGCTCAGCGACCTGCCGGCCTCCTTGCCTTCTGGCCGCGCTTTCCGTTTTCTCTATGTGCTCCTGCCACCACATGCAGTAGCAACGAGAGCGCCAGTGTTTATTGGCCTCTTACTGGGAACTGCACTAAGCACTTTACAAGTGTTAACTCATTTAATTCTCATAAAAGCTCAATTAGGCAGCCGCTGTTATCATCGCCCTCATTGTGCAGGCAGAGAAACTAAGGCTGAGAGAGACTGAGTCACTCGGGCGGGTTCCAGGGTTCCAGCATTCCAGCCTCCCCGGGAACTCCCTCTCTGGTGTGTTGGGTGGAACTGTGACAAACACCGAACTAAAGACGAGAATTAACGATGGACATACTTGACTACAGAATGAGTAGTTGCTTTGTTTTCCAGTGGAGGGAAAAAATTAAAACGGCCCAGAACAGCGGAGTTAGAAGGCTCTAGGCACCGAGTGCCCTTCAGGTCCCCGCAGCCTGTCAACTCAGCCCTCCCTGTCTCCTGAATTCACCCCAGAAAACGTGTCCCTGTCCAGGACTCAGCCACAGCGGCTGGGCTGGAAACCTGTCTGCTGGGCGCTTCCTCCTGCCCTGCCCACCTGCCTCCTTTTCCCTGGACACGCCCAGGACGTGGGCTCTGTTGAAGCGGCTATTTGGAGAGCATGGTCGGGGACATCTGCGGAGGGGCCACTTACCATCCAGCGGGTGTCTCAGTCCCCCTGACCTCCTTGTGGGGCCTCCTGGGGTTTTCCAGAGAAGGCCTGCCCTCCCCCCAGCCCCCAGGCTCTGGGAGGACAGGGTGCCACACAGACGCACATGATGACAGCACGCCACCCGCACAGAACTAGTTTATTCAGTAGTATGGGGGATGAAAAAAAGCCAACAACAACAAAACTCTATTTACAGTAACAATCAAACTGTAGGATCTGATGGTTAGTATCAAGTTAGCATCCAGCATCTTTGTATCTTTTTAAGTCAAGTCATCAGTAGTAATAACAAGTTCCATTCTTAACCCCTTGCAGGAATTGCTGAGGGGAGAGGGCAGGGGGCGCTCCACCACAGGAAGCTGGAAGCCAGCCTTACAGATGAGCACCAGGGACGTTCCCTTCCACCCCTGGCCTCTTTGCTAGCCACCTGCTCCAGAGGGAAAGCCAGGGACAAGTCTGGAGTACATGCTCAGAGTACAGGGAGACTCAAATGAACAGAGTTGGCAAAATGAAGAGGAGGAGGAGGAAGAGGAGGAGGAGAGGTGGGGACACAGTCTGGAGCGAGGACAGGGCTCTGGGCCCCCGAGCCAGGGCTGCTGGGGACACACCCGACCTGCGATGGCCATACCACACCCCCTGGGACTGGACATGAACCCATCCCAGCACAAAAAGCAAATAAATAAAAATATATATTAACTCTCTCTCCGCAGGGAGCTGGGGTGGCACAGGGGAGAAAGAGGGACAGGACCTGGTCCTTTGAAGAAGAGAGCCAATTCCAAGAAGGGGTTAAAAGTCGAACCTGTCTCAGAGGCCACAGCAAGTCAGACCAAGTGGCCTCGGTGGGATGTGGGGAGAGCGGGAGTGGACACCGGAACCCACACCTGAAATCTGTGCTTGAAGCCCGCCCTGGGCAACTGAGCCCCCCACCCCCAGGCCCCACTGTGCTTACTCTTCCTCCCAGCCCCACCTAGGCGACAGCAAAGAAGCAAAGAAGCGCAACTTAACACGTGACTGGCCTTCCCCGGCTGGGCCAGGGCCAGGGCGGGCAGGGAGAATGAAGCACTTTTGGGTCAGCAAACTGAGCAAACACCTGGGCTGCAGCCCGCAGCCAGCAGAGGGGCTGGGGTGGCCCGGCCCCTGGCTGGGGGCGCAGACTTCTCTCCGAATGTGTTCATGCAGCATTTGGGGGTCCGGGGGCATTGAGTCCTTCTGCCCCCTCGCCGGATAGGGCCTTTTCAGTTCCTGGGAGAGGT